AGCCCGGCACGACATGGTCAACAGAAAGTAGACCTTCACGACCTCTAGCGCCTGACGCGCAAGAGTGCTTTAGCGAAAAGACGTTTTGAAGCGACTCGGTGAGGAAAGCAACGAAGCACATGATTTGGCCATTACGGGAACGAATTCACACAAAAAAACCGAGCGCTGCAGCCGTGTTGCCAGCGGATGTACGTGTTTTCATCAAAACTCGTGCATTTACATATATTAATAAAAACCTACACTTCAGATATCTAATTCCTTCAGCTGCAAATCATTCTCAGCAGTACACATCTGGGATATTGTGCAATGTTTAAGCACAAAACAGTTACTTAAAAAAAAAATTACTTTTGCGGACTACTTTGTGGTGCGTAGGAATGCTCTTCTCGAAGATGCGAACCGTCCCTCAGCCTTTGGCTCCGCTCGGACGGAAACTGAAACGAAGTATAGCGCTCCCCGGAGAAAGCCGCACGCTCGCGCGTTCTAGACAAGTGCGATTAGGACTGTAAATGTAGTAAAGGGAGCTGGAGATCGTAATCACACAGCGCATAAAGGTCCCTTTCACTAAGGGAGCTCCTGTGTTAAACGGAGCTTGCCAAGCTCCCTTTACAGCTAAAGGGAGTATATAAGTAGCCTTGGACCCACGAACTAATTATAAAAATCACAGACATATAAATATATCTTGTTTATGCATTATAACAAATTGAATATATATAAGTAGCAAATTATTAAATGATTGTGAACACAAATGTGATAGAATAATTGATTAACGATGAACACATACTATAGCAGGTAGCAGCGTTGGCACGTGGAAAACAATGTCTGCTACAAACTCGTCTGCTACGAACCCGAACACGATGGACCACTGCTAGATTTTTTTCAAGGTTCTAGACGAGTCGTCCGACTCTCCGGCCCAGGACTCTTTATCCTCGTCGTCGTCTATCCCTTTCGAAGGCGTGACTGACTTAACCGTGAAACTCCGACGTGCTTCGTTTCTGCCGAGCACTATTTAGCTACTTAAGTGCGAACTTTGCGGGAAAATGGAGCTGCTAAACACAAAACGGTCGCCGACCTCGCAATGGAAACTCTTAAACGCAGATGATTTGGGGCCAGTGTGGCCAGACGGTTCGGACGTTTTAAAGCAAGACTCATTTAGGTGCGCCCTTAGACTCAGACAAAAAAAATAAAGTGCCTCAAAAGCAAGCAAACACAAGCAATATTTAAGTTCTAAATGTGATATTTCACACACAATAAAAAAAAAAAAAAAAAAAACTGCGCGTTAAACCAATTTTGAGGAATCATTGTTTATCGCGTGCTTCTCTCGCGGTTTAGCAGGAATGCAATCGACATCAATTTAAAGTGCTCCGTTTATTTATCATGTGATCAAGAACGCCGTTTACTACAGGTACCTTCAGCTAAGAGACCTAAGCTAAAGGTAAGTACCCTTACCGCTCATTCACACTCGAAGCGGATCCGCGTTCGCAAAGCGGTTGCGAACGCGGTTGTATAAAGATCCAGTACAATTGCACGCGCACTTGATGTAATCGAGTGCACGTGCAATTGCATTTGATCTTTATACAACCGCGTTCGTAACCGCTTTGCGAACGCGGATCCGCTTCCAGTGTGAATGAGCGGTTACGCTGCCGTGTGAATTGGGTATAAAGTCCCTTGATAAAGGCGTTTTGTAGAAATACCGCAAACCATTCTAGTGGAAATGCGCGCCAGACACGTGCCACGAGCTGGTGCTCCGCCGCCATTTGCTTCCAAGGGCCGCTCGGGAAACTGGGACACTGGCGCCTTTGACGCTACTTGCCAAACAGACGCAAGCACACCGAGGGGCTTTACTTACGACTAAAGAGACCCCCGATGTCTTTGCGTTTGTCTTGCAAATAGCGTCAAATGGGCTAGTGCACGAGGCCCGTGTTTCTAGAGGCCCTTGGAAGCAAATGGCGGCGCAGCACTGAAAGGAGCGGCCCTTGGAAGCGAGTGGCGGCGGAGTACTTCTCGTGGCACGTGTCTTGCGCATTTCCTCAACAATCGTTGGCGGTACTTCTAAAAAACGCCTTTATCGAGGGGCTTTACTTGTGACTAGAGTAACTTTATAGGCACTGCCCGCAAACAGAGTATGTATACAGTTACTCCACTAGCGATTAAAGTCCTTAATAGAAGCTTCCTACAAGTACATAGCGGCATTCTTCGAAGCGCCGACTGTGTGACGGTGCAGGTTTCAGGAAGCGAATGGCGGTGCGCAGCAGAGGTTTGGACTGAATGCCGCCATTTGCGTTCAGCGGAATGTGCCTGGTCATTTGTATACGCCTCGCAAGTGGGCTCATTTTCGTCTTCTGCGCACGAGAAAGAAAGTAGCGGTGACGTCAGAACGCCGAGCCCTGATTGGCTGATCGCGACCCCCTATCTGAGCGTCGTCTGCTCCTTTGCAACGTCGTCTGCTCGCAACGTCGTCTGCGTCTGTCTTACTTTTTGTGCGACTTCGCCTTTCAGAGAGGGCAGACGAAATAACTCGAGCGGTACGTTGTTTTTGTCTAAAAACTAGCAGACGCGCATCAAGGAGGGAAGTCAAAGGACTCACTGGCGAGGTGTCCCGAGGCACCGAGGTTTGTTTGGTAAGAACCGAGAGTGCGTGTTAGTGTCCGCAAGTTCTCTCCCCCCCCCCCCCCCCCCCCCCCCCCAAATACTTTTTCCCTCCTTTCGTGTGCGGCGAGACCCCTCATTCTTTAACGGCGTCGGCGGGTTGGCGCAGTTAACGTCGTCTGCTCTACGTCTGCTAGTCAAAGCGATGGCTGCTTTACCTTTCGAACGTCTGTCGGAGATTCACCGCTTTTTCACCGGCGAGAGTCACCTTTACCTCGGGAAACAAGGAGATAAGAAAAGGAAGAAATTGACCTCTTAATCTAAAACTGAGGTCAGCGATCAAAGTATAATACGGGAAGGGTTCACAAAGGTCGCGCGGACATATTCCATTCAGCACACCAGCCGATCGTGGGCAGACGGTTGCCGAGTCGCGGAGTGCCTGCTAGGCCTAACTGCCGTGCTCGCTTGGTCGCGTTCGGGGGAATCGTGGCGGATGGAGGTTTTCCCGGGTGTTCGTGGATACAGCGTTCTTGTTCGTCGTGGTCTGTTTCAAGTACTTTTTTACTTTTTTCTTGCTGCTTGAAGTCGGAACGCGTGAGAAGCGCACGTAGAAAAATAAACGTCCGTGGGTCGTCGCGACCGTGACGCTGTCGGCCATGCTGATTTGATCGTAAGAAGTGCGTAAGGCAGCTTCGGAGCTGTCGTAGGATTTCGTCGTAACCTGCGCAAAACTTACGAAAATTTCGTTTCGTGAATACGAATTTGCTCTTACGTTATGTCTTACGCACATTTTTGGCGTAAGATCGTTTCGTGAATCTGGCCTCTGCGCTTCCGAAAGTCGCAAGAAAGGTAAGACAGACGCAGGCGATGTTGCGAGCAGACGACGCTCAGATAGGGGGGCCCCATCAGCCAATCAGGGCTCGGCGTTCTGACGTCACCGCTACCCCCTGCGCAAGAAGCAGACGAACTTGCCCTCCGCATTGGTTGTCGTTACTTGTAAAAGAAGTATCAAGAGACTTTACAGGCGAGGAGACACTGGCGCCATCTATCGGGCATCCGTGGATCACTTGGTAGTTTCGGTATGTATTTATTCGCGTCATTATTATTTTGTTGTTCAAAGAACTTTTTACAATACCTTCGTTCGCTTTACCTGTACCTCCTGCACCGGCGCAGAAAAGTGCAGGGCAGTCTACTTCCGGGTATGCGTGCTGAGATACGACCGGAAGTACACCGCCCTACACCGTTCTGCACCGGTGCAGGAGGTGCAGGTAAATCGAAAGAAGCTATTGTTTCAAACTATGATTTCTCATAAATAGTACGTACATTTCATCTCGAAAATGCATCAAAACCTTCGCTCTAGTGAAATTCAGTTCCAGGGTTACCTCATAGATGGAGCCAGGGTGCCGGTGTGTCCGCTCGTCGTATGAGATGACGAGAATTCAGTCGTAAGCAAACGTAAGTGTTTGAGCGGGCTTTTTAGAAACGATAGCAAGCGGTTATTTGCCCGATTCATCCCGAGCCTTGGATGGTGCTTCATGGTTGCGTCAGTTGCGATCATACAGGCGCGACCATCCGAAGCACGGGCGAAGGAACCAATATCACTGAAAACACATGGTTGTCAGAAATCAAACAACAAACTAAAAGTACAAAACAAAAAACGTTCAGCTTGTAAAAAAAAAGTGAGAACGACTTTTCTTTTTAAAGTATTGTAATGCATAGAATGAGTATTTGAGACGCAATGGTTTGCATTTGTTTTGAAGGCATTGAACGCTCGTTTGGGAGTGTTACGATTAATTTCCCCGCAAAATTTAGCGAGAGAAATAAGTAGACGTCTAGGTCACGTGAAGGGAGGTCAGGTCACGTCAATATCCCTGCTAAATTGATTGGGGCAAGGCACCGGCAGATAAACGGACGGACAAATAAAAAATTTAAGAAATCCATGCTTACGAAAAAAAACAAAACAAAAAAAAACTCGGTATCAACTATTTTGTGTTATGTAGTCAAAGCTGTGCTGCACCCCCACTTTGCTGCGAGAGCAAGTAGCTTGATCACACGTTCTAATCGTACGCGCTAACGCAAGTAGCTTCGATAGCGCTGAATCACTGCGTAAGCTACGCTAGTACTAGTGTAGCTTGTAGTACTAGTGTAACCTAAGCGTGCTTATTCAACTAGTGAAATGCAGTTGCAGGGCCGCCTTGCAGATGGCGCCAACGTTCCAGCGTGTTCTCCCACAAGAGCTCGGTCCTAAGCAAACGCAAGTGTGTAAGGGCCTATAGTGTCGTGCATTGTTCATGTTAGGTCGGAAACTAGTCGAGGTTTTCTTACAGCGAGGTGCCAATGGGCTGACCGTCACACACCCTCATTGGAACGACCTCTTTGACGTCGGGCGGACAGTGGCACTTCAGACTGCTTACCTTTCACAGCCTCCATTTAAGGATACCTGCGTGGAAGGGAAAACACAGACGAAGAGTTGAGGTTAATGACTGCCGTACATCTCTATATTACCGACTCACGTCGAAGTAGCTCTTTTTCATGCGCATGTGCTCGATGTACTATCCTAAAGTGCGCTAAAAGTACGATGTTTTTGTCCCATTACATGCTCTAAAATAGAGAAATGTGGGAGTAAACGTGTGTCTAGCTGCCAAGGAAAATGTTTCGCGGTACTCTGAGTTTTTAGACGCCAGACATCTACGTTCACGGCGCTCTTCATTAGATAGTTTAATGGGTACGGGTACCATGTGTACGCTTGATAGTTGTTCCTAGAATAGAGCGCGGTACTACCGCTAATCGAGCTGATAAACCTGGCGACCTTCCAGAGCATTCCTAATCTTGAGGTCCTCTCCCTCAGTGCGCACAGGTGGTCGAGCTCCTCATCGAAAACCTCACTCCTCCTGGCCTACCCCTCTGGTCACGTGACCTCACCGTTAACCAATCAGAGGCGAGCACCTCGATCCTTCACCCCCACCCGTGAACCAATCAGTGTCGAGCCTCGCGGCCACACTTTTATCTGGGCTTTATGAAATGCCGAACACCTAGCCAAAGAACGTTTCACGTTAAAAGTGGCGCCTGGATAGAAGTGTGGCCGCGTAGCTCGACGCTGATTGGTTAACGGGGAGGTCATGGGACAAGGAAGGTAGGCGAGGAGGAGCTCGTCTATTTGTGCGCACCGAGTGAGAGAAGCTCGAGAGCGTGGAAAGCTCTGGAAGATTGCAAGGTTTCCCAGCCCGATTAACCGTACTATCGCTTTATTTACGCGAAAATTACGCGAAAATCCGGCGTCGTCGGCGGCGTGACCAAGCGATGGTACCAAAAATGTCCGACGGCGCAAAGAGTAAAAACAGGTAAGAAATGTTTGGACTGACGTCAAATTTCTCAGGGAGGTTCCTGTAAACAAAGCAAATGCATGACTTTGAAAAAACAAATTGCTACATTTCGGCCTGGGCCTCCGGGGGGCTAGACGAACACGCTTCCCAACGCCACCGCAGTTCACGGTTCTGGCTCACTAAAGGTGTATTCTAGCGCGTGCGTTATTTGGCACATGACGGCGCAGTTAATGGGAAGGAGGTGGGGCCAAGCATTGAGCGCATAAAGCTACCTCCCGCGCGCCACTTGTTCTTCGAATTTTCATAAACGTTTCACCAAAGGGACCATAATGCTTTCGCATTCCCACAAATAGTCTAAAGTATCCCCGCCGACTTTTTTTTTTTTCTTTTTTTTCTAAAGAAGTAACACGCGTAGGAAAAGTTGTTTTCAGTTCTTTAATCCAGACGTGACAGAGAACAACTACCAGAATTATTCGACTGTAGTCCAAACATTGTTGCACGGCCCATTTAAGTGTCACGTAGTAGATGTAAGGAGGAAAGGAGGTGCGTACAAAACCTCGCGCGTGCATGCTTTGGATTTTTAATTGATGTCTATTATATTCGATATCGCTTTTTTTTCCTCTTGATGTTGCGATGAATCGTCTCAGTAAATACCGTAAACCTAACCACTACAATCATCTATTTTTTTTACATGCATACCATTTGTACATTGAACGGTTTTAATGCCTATAATGAATTTTAGTTGCTTTGCAACTTAGATACCGTGATGCTCTAACGAGCCTAAAGTTAAAAAGAATCATCTGAAACCTTGAGTCCAAGTGAATTCGTTTATACAGCACCGTTGAGTCGAACTGGCCCGCATAATTCGTACGCAAGCTGTATAAGCAGAATAGGAAGTTATAGCTGAATTGAAATTTCGTGTGCATTGTGAAGCTACGCCCAATTGGGGCTTCGGACAAAATGAAGATTCATCCGAACTGAAGCCGCAGTCAGACATCATACAAAAGGTACGGTGTTCTTTGCAGATAGAATTACAGGAACATCTGCGGACACGGCTCAAGCACGTTCTAAGTATGTTTGCTTCATGCCATACGCTTCGAGAATGTTCGCAGACCGTTTTTTTATTACCGCCATGAAAGGAAGAAACACACCTCAGCAGTGTTACCGCAGCCTTCCCACTACTCATAGCGCCAAGTTCTGCGTAAATCATCCGCCGGTTTCCCTCCCCGCACGCCAATTTACCCCTCCAAGGTGTGGGATCGTAAACATTTGTACATGAAATGACGACTTTTAAGATAAAAGCGTTGTAACTCACGCCAACAGTGTTATAAGTTTCGAAGAAAGAACGGCAAGCCATTCCGTCCTGACCAAAATAGGTGGAAACTTTTTGCTTTGCTCCGTTGTTCCACGTACAACAATCCACCGTGCAGGTAGAGGGCAGGAAGTTATGGTCCTACAAAGAGCAAAGTCGCCAGTGTTAATTTAAAGGGGACTCTCGAAACGTTATTTTTACTACGGATACTAGCGTGAATCTGTCAGAAAATATTCTTCCTGGTTTGAGTCACTAGACAGCGTGAATAATGATTATTGTGTCGTCTGTATGTTTATACAGCCGGAAGTTAGTCCTCCGTGAGCGTATGGTGTCTCAGCTGTAGATGAGCAATTTAGCCAGGGCACTACAACCGCTAGCCTGAGGTCTTTAAAGAAATACTGCATCAAAATTTGCTTCCGCAAAATAAGGCTGCAGAATCATTTATCGCGACGCTAAGAACTACAAAACATCACTCATGCATCGATATCTCAAAAGAGGAGCCGTACGTTTAGAAAAGGAGGGCGCGATCAAACAAGGGCTATGACGTAATGGTCCTCATGAAACATTTGACAATGAGGGGAAGCGGCCTCGCTTCTCTCCTCCTCGCTTCGGTTCACCTGCTGCACCAGCTCAAAGGGACGCAGTGAGGAGCAGAGGGAATGAGAATCGTGACGTGGCTTGACTCGTAGGTCTCGTCGGCCGTATCCAATCGCGCACTTATTTCCCAAAAAATACGGCGATCCGTTAGAGATATCGCTGTATGAGTGATGTTCTGGGGTTTTGCGGCGTCCCACCTATCCGTCCAGCCTTGTTTTGTGAGCTCGTAATTTCGGTTCAGTATCCCTTTAACGTGCATCACGCCGTAGCGACATACACGACCGCGCGCCTGCACGATGCTCATCCAGATTGAAACGGGCAGAGGTTGGACATGAACTCAGGATCCCTTGGTTCTGCAGCGCCAGTTTGCGCTTCACGCACTCTTCGCTGCGGTGCGCTAACACACTCAACCACCAATACAGTTGTTTACAGTTGTTTAACACGGTTAATTATTTTTTGGGGGGACACCCCAGTACTCAAAATTAATCGGAATTGCAAGGAAATTCCCTGGTCCCTTGCCGGGTACAACTAAATACGTTCACAGTCGAGGTGCTCAACCCTCTGCTGCATACAGCGGCCGACACGCGACGGACTGATTCGCGATTTTCGTCCGCGGACTGTGTATATTACCTGAGCATCACGTCACCGATTCCTGCGATCCGCTCCTCGTCCGTGGAGGCGCGGACTGAAATAGCCGTGCGCCTTTCCAATCGGGTTGCATCTCAAAACAACAGACATCAATGTAAAGGTGAAAACGCATTGTGGTTTTTAAACATGCTTCCCTCGCTTGAGTATACTTCTTTTATTGTAATGATGGGATCCACTTCCCAGATGGTAAAGACATGGTAACCGTTTTTAGGGAGTTTTAGTAGATAGTATTTGCATTTTGATAACGATACGCAATAGCAATACGATGCATACGGAAAGGCTCAGCCGAAGTATCTGGTATCGTTATCGGAGTCAATTTCAATTCCCGTATTTTTAATCAGCCATGCATGCTGGCCTTGACTGAATATATGTATCGACACATTTAACAAGTAGCGTTAAAGGACACCTGGTCAAAGCCTATATTTTTACTGATCATTGCTTAGTAACAGTAACGCTTAACAAAACCAGGAGAAAAGTAATTTTAATGGGCAACTCTAGAAGCTTAATTCAGAGCTATTGAAGGACGAACATTATGCGGCGAGTGTGGACGAGCTGTTTGCAATTACGGCGAGAAAAAAAACAAAAACAAAAAAACTCTCACTCTTGGAAAATGGGGAGCATTTAAAGAAGGAAGTAAAGCAACTAGCAATCGAACGATCAATCATTCTACGTTCCACGTACGCATCGAGTAGAGGCAACTAAATAATGTTACGCGTGCACTTCACGAGGCAGGGTGCGCAGACCCCGGTAGCGGTCTGAAAGATATCCAGCAAGTAAAAACGCAGGTTTATTATTTATTTATTTATTTTTATTTAGGAATACTACTGGCTCCAGTCAAGGAGCCATGGTAGGAGTGGGTACAAAACATGGATACAAGATGCAGGTTTATAAATGAAAACTCAATTAAGTATGAATTCAAGAGCAGATACAAAATTAGCAACAGTTGTGTTAACGACGACATCATTTGGTAGCTCGTTCCATTCTTGAATTGCCCGAGGAAAGAAAGAATATCTAAAACAGTCGTTTTTGAACCTGTATTGTTTTAACGCTCTTGTGTGGTTTAGACGTGAGGACCCGGTCGATAATGGTTGTATATAGTTAGAGCTTTGAACATGAAGGGTGCCATTAAGAATATTGAACAACAATCTTAATCTATCAATTTTCGCTCTCATTTAACGTTGAACGTTTTCATCACGAACGTTACCAAGGAGCCGTTGTGCGTTCTCAAACGTAAAAATTTCTTTTTGCTGGACAACCTTCAAAGGATGTATTAGCTTCGGTAAAAAAGTATGTTTTATCTAGAGAAATTTATGAAATCGAATGCAACAATATAATTCGGTCTGACAAAGGCAGCATTGAAGATGCTTCTGTTAAATACTATCAAAAACGTTTAGAAAAAAAAATAACCACCAATATGACAAATCAAAAGTGAGAAGTTTGCTGTAAAGGGTGCTACATTGCAAGGAGACGTAAAAAAAAAAAAAAAAAAAGCTCCTAAAGCGGATTATTTTGACGGAAGTTGAACAGTCAGTTTCAGTAGATGAAATACCTAATCATAAAGGGCCTGGCCCTGACTGAATTACTGCCGAATTCTATAAAAACTTTAAAAGTCGCAACTGTGCTCTTCTTTAGGAGGGAGTACTTCGCGAAGCATACGAGCTTAAGGCAGTGGCCCCCTTTTTCTTGAAAAAAAGAACACACACTATTCTTACACCGAGGTCAGATGATCCTGCCAAACTACGTCGTGTCATTAATTATATGCCAATCATATTGTCTAATACTGACAAGAAAATATTCACCAAAATATTATCAAGACGACTTAAGAATGTCATCTGCGACATAGTTGCTAAGCATCAACTTTGCGGCATAAAAGAAAGAATAATACAATCAAATATTCATGTTGCGAGGAGCGTCTTAGAGTGTTGCTCCGATGAGGGAGGACAAGTGGCTTCACTCCAGATTGACTTGGAGAAGGCTTGTGACCGCGTTACGCATACGGCGCTTTGGGATGTTTTATAACACGTTGGAATAGGAAACGTTATCTACGACGGAGCCCAGATGACCTGTAAAGATTGTCCAACAAAAAAATAATAATAATAATAAATGGCAATCTTTCAGTTAACATTCCAGTACTGTACTACGTTCGGCAAGGGTGACCGCTATCACCACTGCTATTTGATATTTATTTGGAAGCATATTGTGTGAGTATCACCCATAGTAATGCACTGTGAGGTTTGGGTCTCAACTCAGTAAAGATTAAGGTCTTAGCGAATGCTGATGACGTGGCTATTTTCTGTCGTGACACGAAAAGTGTTACCGAAGCTGTTGTGTTGACAAATACATTTAAGCCATAACAGGTGCAACGGTAAACTTGGAAATATATATCGGCTTCAAATACAAGTCGAGGGCAACCTTGCCTATAAAGTATGGAGGTGTCAAATGAAATGAAACTTCTAAATATCTCGGCGTACCACTTGAACAGTTTCGTAGCAGTATGACTTACTGGTTGACATCTACTAATGAACTGAAATCACGTGTATCAAGGAGGGCTAACCGTTACTTGTCAATTTTTGCGAGAGTAACTGTTTGCAACATTTTTCTTTTTGCCAAAATTAAGTATGCATTATGTGCTGTGTTCAAAAGATTCATAGGATTTGTGTTTTGTTTATTTGGAAGTGCGGATGGTAACCAATGAAACGTGACAATCTTTTTCGACTTGTCTTACTGGGAGGCTCAGGCCTGCCACCTTTGCTTATCCGTCAACTTATATCGCTTTTTTTTTTGTGTGTGTGGCGAGTAGCATTCATTTGTACGCACAGTGATACAAACCAAACTATCTGGAGTTTTGCCATCTTTTCTGGTGGTTTCCCAGACGCTGGATACTATGATAACTGTTGTATTCTTAAGATAAGTTGTAGATTCGTATTATGTTTTGTCCGTACGATTTCCTCGAGAGTATCTATCTGCCATTCCAAGAATGGAGCTTACTCGAGCTATTTTGGCCAATCTTTTCCCAACACCTCTGTATCGTTCATTGTTCAATAAGGGTTCAGGTCAAACTGTGATTTCTAGTGTTAAAAAGATGTGCATTCCACCAGTTCCAAAATCTATTCTTGTTAACTGCATACTGAATCACTCTCCGTCACGGTATGGCTCCACAGGAAGGGAATATTCGTTCCGTGGACTTTAAACTGTTTGCTTTGTAAACAATCAGAAAAACTTGAGCATGTTCTCATTAATTACTGGAATGCTTTCCCTTTTTAGGGAAATATACTTAAACGGACGAGGAAAAACAGACAAAAACACAGAATGGTGCTAGCACCAGTCCGTGTTGTATGCATCTCTTCCTAGTCCGTGTTTGTTGCGCTTTTAAGTTCCCCACCACATACACTCAACAACTTAGTTGCTCCTTGACCGTGTTAGGATGCCAACAACGTGGAAACACTTACCGGATAACAATATCTCAAATCCGGATGGCGTGATGAGCAGAACTCATTCGGCGACAGGTCTTCACCCATGTATTTCCTGCTTCCGCGAACTGACTGCCGCGCGTATTTGGGGCTGAGGCAGGTGGCGTTCATGCTGCACGGAGTCAGTATATAATGTAAAAGAACAAAAACAGTTTCGGCTGACTCCGGTGTATGATGCATTTGTGTGCGCACCGTTGAGCGTTTCTGATAGCTTCACTCGTCGTTGTGTTAGATACCCGTTACCTTAGATTTATGGGTGATATCATTTGAACTCGGGCACAAATTTTGAGTCGAGTTTTTAAATTTTTTTAATATATGTTATCGGGCAATTTCTATAATAAAAGACGCAAACGGCAAGCACGTCGGATTTTGTGTTCTCAAGCTATGGACCGTTGAAGTGGCCAAGGTGGAAACTCACGTTTTTCCAGCTTATTGGGGGTGCCATATTTCACTCCATCCCTTTTCCTTACATTTTACTTTACATCAATATAACTTTTTGGGAACACTCTCGACATATGCTTTTTATGTTAATTAGGCGTCTAGGTCATAACACTCTTAATGTATTTTTTTTTATTTCTCAAACCGCCTCTTTGCGGCAATATTTGACGAAGTTCAGCAAGCTGTGCTGTCTGACCTAATCAACATATTTTTGTGATCTTTACATCACTGTAAAGCTCCAATTAGGCTCTTTCTTTTGAGTTAAATTTCTACATTGGGCAATGAAGGTATAATGCGCTACATGTACATGAAAAACGGATATTTCGAAAAACTAGCAAGTTCGGAGTTGATTTTCTAACAAAAAACCCACCTTTTATTAGTTTTATTTTTTATTTAGAGTTAGGTAATATAGTAGTCTTTTAGGAACTACCAACAGAAATTGTAATATGTTGTTCGTATGGTTGCTATTAAGACTCGAATCTCGTGCCATGACCGTTTTGAACGGGACTTCGCACAGGCGCTTTGCTGGGCAGAATTCTGGCCTGTGTAAGGTTTTCTACTTATCTTTATTAGTTACCGCAATATACGACCATAAACATTAATAAAATTTGGAGTAGTGTACTTAAAGAAAAGTTACTTAGAAGTCCGTATCCACAAGTGTGGGCACAGCGCTTACTTCCTCTTAATACGGGGGAATGCAGATCGTTAAAGAATTCCTCTGGGGCCTCTTGCTTTGGGCTTTGAGTTTGAAATACCGAACTTGATATGTAATTGTCATATTTTCTTATGTCAAACAGATATGCAGTGCATATACATATGGGTGCTTTCATATCAACTGAAGCAGGATTTAGGGTCGAATTTTTAATTTCGACCAATAAAATATATGTTTTTTGCGAAATCCCTTCTGTGACAGCTAGTGCTATGGACATTTTAAGGAGCCGAGGTGCAAACTGACCTTTCTCTCGCCTGTCGGGGGTTTTATGTTTCACTCCTTTCTACTTTTCGCCCTTTTTCGATAGTGCAGTGTAACTTTTTTGGGCCACTCTCTTAATAGGCATTATTTACGGTCCATAATTTTGTTGTGATTGTTTATCTTCACTTTTGTTTTAGATATTGTCAAAGTGTGTCCCTTTCACAATATTTGTGAAAGTTTGACCAGCTCTTGCGTGCGATCTATTTGAGATATCGTAACATATTTAGTATTTTCAGAAACCTAAGAGTATGCTCTTTCTATTGATAACAAATTTAACGCGTAGAAAAAAGAAAGGACAGTGTACTCTCGTAAAGCAAGGACTATTTCCAAATATTAACAAATTGGAGGTCCATTTTCTAAAAAAAAAGACACCTTTTATGTGTTAAGCAACAATATTTATTCTAACAATATTTATTTACTTGGCACTGGCGTGACTTGCAAAGTGCGTGAGCTTGGCCCCATGTATTGACGGAGAAAATACGTATACCATCTAGACTCCCGGACGAACTTAAGTCAAGAGAAAAACGTCTAAGTAACCTGGCATGAATCACTGAAAATAGAAATGAAACCGAAACACATGACTAACACATTTGAAGCCTTACGCGCTACGAAATACTCGTTATTTTACGAAAGAGTCCATACGTGCACAAAATAAACCGTACTTCCTAAGCGTGAGATACAAAATCATACATATGCATATGCACTGCATATCTGTTTGACCTAAGAAAATATGACAATTACATATCAAGTTCGGTATTTCAAACTCAAAGCAGAAAGCAAAAGGCGCCTGAGGAATTCTCTAACGGTCCGCATTCCCCCATATTGAGAGAAAGTAAGCGATGGTGCCCGCACTTGTGGATACGAACTTCTAAGTAATTTTTTTAAAGTAGACTACTCAAAATTTATTAAAGTTTGTGTTTGGATATTGAGGTAACTGCTCACGACAAGTAGAAAACCTTACATAGGCCAAAATTCTGCTCAGCAGAGCGCCTGTGCGAAGTCCCGTTCAAAACGCTCTGAGCACGAGATTCGAGTCATAATAGCGGCCATACAAACAATATATTACAATTTCTGTTGGTAGTTCCTGATAAACTACTATATTACCTAACTGTGAATAAAAAATAAAAGAAATAAAAGGAGGGGCTTTTAGAAAATCGACTGCCAACTCGCTAGTTTTTTTAAATATCTGTTTTCCAGGCACATGTAACAAGTTATATATTTATTGCACAATATTGAAATTATATTAAAAAAAGAGCTTAATTGGAGCTTTACGGAGATGTAATGATCATAAAAATATGTTGATTAGGCCAGACAGCACAGCTTGCTAAACTTCGTCAAATATCGTCGCAGAGAAGCGATTTGACAAATAAAAAATATACACTAAAATTGTTATGACCTAGACGCTTAATTAACATAAAAAAGCATATGTCGAGAGTGTTCCCAAAAAGTTATATTGATGTAACGTAAAAAGTAAGTAAAAGGAATGGAGTGAAATATGGCACCCCCGATAAGCTGGAAAAACGACAGTTTCCACCTTGGCCGCTTCAACGGTCCATAACTTGAGAACAAAAAATCCGACGAACTTGCCGTTTGCGCCTTCTTTAATTATAGATATTGCCCAATAAGATGTATATTTTTCTAAAAAAATATTAAAAATTCGACTCAAAATTTGTGCCTGAGTTGAGATGAAATCACCCTTATGTATTTGGAGTTTGCTGCTTTCATTGTGAATGCCGATGTACCCTCCCGAATTTCGAAGCAACGGACGTTCGTCCTGTTCTTGCCGGTTTCAAGCGTACAATCGCTGTGATGCTTCAACCGATAAAACTAAAGCTCTTGCGATTTGCGTAGCACAGAGCGGTTTCACGTTCGCACTTGTATGCGACATGGGCCGTGTGTGATGCTATAATAAACGTGTGGATAATTTAAAACAGGTTACTTGTGGCCGCTTTTTTTTCTATTTTACGTTTTACAAGGTAATTTTACCGATTTGTCAGTTTACTGCGTGTGAACTAAACTTGTTATAAACGTGTTCGGGGGTAATAAGATGTCGTAAAAAAAGTGTCCGCTTGTGTTTGACCCCAGATGTAGTGCTGCCTTGTCTTTGAATCATGTTTGCGGAGTGGGAACGCCTTATATAATGTTAACATTGCGTAACGGGATGTTTTATATCGAATTCTGTCTTAATCCAGTTTCGTAGTTTGATTTGACTTCTACAGAGTGGTTTGAAGTTCGCACTCGCACGAAGGATAAGCTTTGTGAAATGCAACACTAAGCACGTGGAGTATTCAAAACAGACTACTTCTGTTCATTTTGCAGTCTTATTATACGTTTCATTAAATAATTTGAGCTACTTTTCAATCTACTACTTTCAAACAAGAATTGTACTTAGTGCTTTTGGTGGCATTCAAAGACTTGTCACACCTGTGTTTGCACCCTAGAGGCACTGACACATTGAGGAAACATGGCAGGGACAGCAGCACAACATGTTCATCAACAGTTGGTCAACTTCGTTCTCGGTCGCCCGTTTGCCCGACAAACCTGTCACATCGCAGGAGCATCAGCACAACGCAAGCGACAGCGACAATGTTGACTCGGTGGGACAGCTTTCGGCGACAAAACCAGCAGCGCAACTTGTATTGGACGAGGCGTGTTTGCCGGATCGGTGGATGAGCGCATTTTGTGTTGTCAACACGATAACGCTGATGGACTCGACGGCAGAGTTCTCTATCAATAACAAACAAGTTTTTTTTTTGTTAAGAGCTTACTCGAACAAAGGCATGGAAAACGATATTTAACATTAATTAAGGCGCTTGCAACTAAAATGATTTGATGAATGTCTTTACTGCGAAATTACGGAAAGCTATTTTCAAAATGCCCACAGCCACGCTCGTGAACATTCAGACGGTTGTTAAAATTAGAGCTGCAGAAATACCAGCTCACATTACCGCTACTGAAATAGAATGATATGCCTATTCACCCAATGATGCAATGTAATAAAAATAATCCACGAAGGCAAGCGATTCAAAATATGAAGCATGAAAACAATCACCCTGAACATGGTAGTTGATACTTAGAACTTCAAAACAGCCACTGCCGGACACGTGAATGGTTTAAAAACTCCCCAGGACGTTTTGGCGATTGCAGCGATCACGTAGCAGGGCGATAAAGGCTAATAGACAGCGTTGAAAAAATGTTTATTCCACCGATCATTATGAAGGCCGATCATGTCGGTGTCACAGTCAGTTCAGCTCGACACCGCGCTGCAAAAGGCACTTTGGGATACTACCGGGGCTCATCCAATTTTACATTAGAAATAGGAATTGCATGAAAGGTAGAACCGGACAGAAACACTTCATACGGTGGCGTAAATCACGAACAGATAGCAGCGCTATCATCATCCTCGGGTAGGGCTACCTATACCTGCTTCGTCAGCGAATGAAGAGCATTTTGATCAAATAAACAGTTGAAAATACTCCACCCGTGAAGATCTTTAATTGCGGTCACTGGTTAATGTCGTTCCGTGGTAATTTAATTCCTACACCTCGACCGCATAAGAATTTTGCACAGTCAGAGTTCCCGCGTCGCCGCGCCGCACACGAACGAAGGTACACAATTCAGATGGCGGAGTTTTTCAGGTGTTGGTCCCGCTGTCAGCGCGGTGTGGTAGGGTGTTCTCCGGCTGGCGGACAACAAATGGGCGAACACGGTTGCCAAGCGGCAAAAACACGTTTCCCGACAGTTGCTGTTGCCTGGATGGGACAGGGTCACCGAAAACATGTTTTTCGCGTGATGATGGAGAGAGTTGTCCGCCTGTTTCCTCAATGCAACAGCGGCTTAAATGCAGTGCCTACTTGTCGATAAAGCTAGTAAGCAGTCGAGCTGGTTTAAGTTGCACATCGTTAAGACCGGAGACTAACTGAAAGAATGGGGACAGGACACACGTCTCAAAAGACGTGTGTCCTGTCCCCATTCTTCCCGTTCGTCTCCGGTCTTAACAATGTGCAGCCTACTGGTCATTCAATCGTATTTTTGGTGTCAAAGCTGCAAATACGTTGGCGTTACCTACCCGAGGTTTTCTCTATAAAATTGCGTCTTTCAACTGCGCCGATGGATTAACCCTAATCTATCGCCGGAGCCGAAGGGCCGGATTCGATCTAGAGCCCTGGAAGCAAGTTAACCCGGATTGAAAATGCCTGATCGACACTGGATCCAAAAGTGCGCAAGAAGAAACTTCCAGTCTGCAAACAAAAAAATCAGTCAGATTCAACCTTACATTATTTGTTCAGCTCCAAATTCAGATCTGGACTGGATCCGACATTTTTCATTCTGGTTTCCATGTTACCATTTTCTATTGGACACGTTATGCACGATATTTCATCAAATTACCGGTCCTTCAGAGTTTCCTTGATCATCTTTCTTGAACAATTGGAAAATGCGTAGGGCGTGTAAATCTTTCCGGTTCCCATAAAATACCCGTCGTCTTCGGGACATCCAGAAGCTTCCGCTCTTCCGTCATACTCCGCACCTAACCTGCGAGACGAGGACACGTTTGAGTTCTTTCGCAGCTTTAGACATCCGCCATAAATACGCACACTCTTAAAAAAAAGGGTCAGTATAGTCCTCCCTAAAGGGAGGAACGCTCTTGACACATATGTTCCTTCAGAAAGGGAGAAACTTTTGTCCTGAAAGCAGGAGAGCAAAGTTCCTCCGTCGCCTGCATCTCATCATGGCGGCCAAGAATCGAGCAAATCGAGCTCAATAAGGCTTAACGAGACGACAAATTCTATTGTACGGAGCGAGAGGAGCAGTAAATAAAAACGTAACACGAGCTTTCCGCGAACTGTATTTATTTCCGAAGCCGGATTTCCCCTCCAGGTTAAGAAACTTACGTTTCAAAAGCATGCAGTCACTCAGTTTTCTCATCGTCAGCACTGCGATGTTAAACGGAGACACCCGGCCCCCAGTTACTTCACGCAATTTATGTCTTACATTTGCTGTACCTCGAGCCACAGTTCCTTCGCCAACCGCACATCACGGAGGAGTAATAAACCATTCGCCCGCAAAACCAAAAGCCGCTCTCAAGAACAGCAACTCCGAAGCAGCCTCCTGGCTCATTTCAGCACGATAACACGAAAATAGGGCGTAGCCGGCGTAGCCTGGCGTAGCCGCGTATCATAAAAGGAGGTTAAATCGCTTGCCACCAGATGGCGGGGTCAAGCAGAGTAATTGCAAGTAGCTAGGCTAGGTGGCTAGGTACCGCCCAATTCATGTCCTACAAAAAATATTTTTATTTTCTCACGCCACCATTGCGCTTCGGGTTCTTCAAGAACCTCTGTTATACACACATGTAGACACGTTACGCACACTACAAGCATCAGCTGAACATACATTGAGCGCACCACATGCATCGCACATACAAACATCAATACAACAGCACACTAACCCGATCACTACTCACGAGCTCTGCGTTTCTGTCTTTTATATTGATCATTTTCAACTTACGAAATTTCTCGGTGACTGCCTAAGCAGTAAACAATATTCCCAGCATGTTGATTTTTTTCCAGCAATGTCATACCTCTGAGAGTATTTTTAATGGCTCAGGAAATGAATTTCTTAATAATAAAAAAAAACGCTCGATCATGCCGTAACTATTTGAAAGCCAATAAATCGAGTCGTAGAGTGGAGTAGCCGGCCATGCCTCCACGGCAGCCAACATCTCCAATTTCTTTTTTTTTTGTCATTTAATAAAGAAAGAAAGAAAGAAATCGAGTCGCTCCAATGCGGTTCCAATTGCCACGAGTTTGTTTCCCCGCACGGCACTTCATAGCCAGTGTTTCTATTGTAGTGTTCATTTTTCTATTCGTGCTGTTCGCGCACGCTTGCATGCAATTGCCGTCTTGAATTAATCTCTGTAGAACGGATATTCACTCAGCTGGAAGTGATGCTTCACGGGCAGAGAAATCGCTTTTCGATCAAGTTGAATGCAGTCAAAGCCGCGACTTGCGGCAGGTGTGAAGTGTACGGAGCTACGCCGTGGCGATCTCGAAAACTTCTAGCGCTCATCCCAGCGCGCCACTTAAAGGGCAGTTTCTCCAGGAACCGTAGTATATTTAAACAGCAAAATAAAGGAAAGCTTTTTTTATCGATTTCATCTACTATTCTTTTTTAATGCTAAAATTCTACTGTAAATTTACGTACTTTCCGTCATAATTTCGTGGAGTTCATTCCTTTCCCCAGAGCGCAATCGCTCTCGGGGACCGACAGTCACATTGGCCACTGTACGATAGGAGCTTACCGTTCAGACCAGCGTTCCAACATGACTGTCCACACGTCGATCGATTGCACCTAATCTCTCAAGTGGTCTTAAACTCCTTAATGTAATGTAAAGCGGAATGTCAACCTTCGACACCGCGCCTCCTCCGATCACGGCCCGACCAGCATCAATGTCCGACTGGCATCAATGCCCGACAGCTTACGTCATCTCATCTTGTTAACCACTGATACGCGAGCACACGGTCACATTGGCGATAATTCCCGTCTTCTGTTCACAACGCACAACACCGCCATCACGATGTTGCTGCTATGTTGCTGACACGCAGAAATACAGAACCACGTTGAATGCCGGTTGGCACTCGGCATGGGAAAACGAACCTCCTCACTTATCAGGCCAACGTGACCACATCACGTGACCGTAGCTAGCCTCCGTCTAGCCTTCGATCTGATAAAACCTACCGGACGGAGCGCGCGCAAGCCTGCAAGGGGTCCTTCTACAATCAACCATCAATCTCACACGTGACATGTCACGCGCACCAATTGCCAGAGAGATCTACAGTCACGTTGGCCACAACATCGTATAAACTTTTTGTGACTAGGCTCCACCAATATCGCAACGTGCCCCCTCCTAGTGCTTATAGCCGAAGGAGGTTAGAAGTACTATACTCTGTTTCACCTTATGATGTACCGCAGGAAAGGCTACAAGCGCGAGCTCCTTGCTCTAGGGTACATCTCGGCGGCACAAGCTCTCGCGCGTTAAGAGTAGCTCCCAACGCTATGAGCTCGCGCTTCTAGCCTTGTCTGCGGTACAACATAAGGTGAAACGGAGTATAGGAGGGGGCGCATTGCAATATTGGTGAAGCCTAGTCATAAAAAGTTTAAACGATATTGTGCCCAGCGTGACCACAGATCTCTCTGGCAATTGGAGCGCGTGACATGTCACGTGCGAGGTGGATGGTTGATTCTAGGAAGATTCCTTGCAGGCTTGCACGCGCTCCGTCCGGTAGATTTTATCAGATCGAAGGCCAGATGAAGGCTAGCTACGGTCACGTGATTTGGTCATGTTGGGCTGATAAGTGAGGAGAGTAAGGAGAAAAATGAGAAAGAGGCGAGGCGTCAAGGGAGCATGGCTTGTGGAGGCTACGCGGCTGACGTCATGCCCGCTCCTACCCTTCTATTCTCCACTTTATAGCCTCCTCGCTCGCAAACCGGAGACGGCCATCTTACCCAGCGTACGTAGCGCTGCTGGCACTGCTCCGGAACTTCGCTGTTTCTAGCGGCTTCGTTTGCTCGTTTGATATAATTAGTGGTAAAAACGTCAATGCAACCGAAATGTTCTGCATGTTTGGACTAGAAGACGGAATTACAGGCGGCCTTCGCGGCCGCTGAAGCTCAGTCAACTCAACAATATTTATTAAACAACGTGCGCGACGTGCTCGCAAAACGAAACCGAAAGAAGGTGAGTCGGGAGGGCGAAAGCTTTCTCCCGTCTGCCTGGAGAAGGAGGAAAACGTCTCGTTCCTCCCTTTTTCTCGTGTCCGCTTGGGTGCGTCAGTAGAAGGGAGGAAGAAGCGCGGTTGCTACCTTTTTCGTGAATTTTTTTTTTAGAGTGCATAATAGGGAAACGGTCCATCAAACTATTTGCAAGCCGCCAACTCAATTGTGTCCAGTCACAAAAAAAAAAAAAAAAATAACTTCGAAAATAATTACTCGCTTTTTGTTTTAGTCAGCAACTTACAAAATTGTTGTAGATGTTATATGAACTCTGTTCATACTGCTTTTAGCAACGAAACTATACGTTTTAGTGATCTTTACATGTCTGCATATACCGGGTGTTTCTACAAGGGCATTCTAACATTCTTAAAAATCGGGTGTTTGAGAAAAAAATGCTCTCTTATTGCCAGCCACAGCCAACGTCCGGGATTGCGAAACAAAACACACTAATTGGCAAATCAATGACATAAAATTGACTAATGCACTCTTTATTTGTGAAAATAAACACGTGGTTCCAATTGCCAACTTGCTGAGTGTCATCAAAAACTCCAATATCGGTCCATTTTAAGAAGACTTGAAGCGCGTGTGAAGCGCAGGGCGAGCTAAAGTTACCTCGTGTAGCAGGCACAAGGCCGACGATGCGAAAACTCGAATAAGTATATAATTAGCATCTTGTTCCCAAAAACGTTCTGCTGTGGTCTCAGTTGTAAACACAGGAGCGTGAAGACACATTCACATGGGGTGCGTTTGTTTACGTCTTCTTACGTTACGTTATGAGTAGGGTTCTGTGTTTTCGGTAAATACCGATAAACCCCAATAAATTCAACCGAATTGATTTTCTCTGAATAGGAAGGAACCGAGAAACCCCAAATTGAAGCTGGCCTTGAATAGGGAAATCCCCGGTTTTAAGTGAAAAAATTTTTCTCTGCAGCGTTTTCTTTTTGTGGTCACCCTGAACATCACCATACCCGTACTAACTGTTCTTTAAGTGCCTTCTTTCTTTAGGAATAACGCCCCTCGCCCCGGCTCCTGCTCTCAATACCGGGATGCCATTTTTTCAAGTATGTCGGTCACTGGGTAAGTTCCATAGACACCCTGGTAGAAAAGAGGACGCCGGAGGAAGGGGGGGGGGTTTATTAGATATTACAAACTTTACCACCGTGTCCTATTTTCTTCAGGCGTCTGGAAGGACCCGGGTCCGGAAACAGAATACAATCCAAGATTTTTTTAATGAATTTATTGCTGTTGAAAGTTTTGGTGAAGGCGCCGATAAACACCTTGTCCGCAAGTCGCTTCGCCTAACTCTCTGCAGACCCTCACCACCTCAGCACTCGCATTATGTATAAACCGCATGTTAGCGACTTGGCGATCGACGAAACAAGCGACGGCAACACGCTCCGCTGTAAACTCGGTAACTCCCGCGACGAGGCAAACCGTATGAAAGCGATGGGAGCGAGCGACCAAGACGATGAGTGACGTCTTCTAGAAATCCAAAAACCGAGCGACGCGACGAGCGACAGAGACAAACCTCCGTCGCTCGTCGCTGCTGACTCTCGTCTCTGTCACCGTCTCTCGACTCCTCGCTCGCTCAATCGCTTATTAGCGGCGAGATGTTTCGGTGGCGCCCTCGTTTGGTTACCTTTCGTGACGTCATCACCTTGTGAACAACAAGTTCGATGGTGTTTGTAATAGGCATGGTGGAAGCCTGAAATCATTGCGCTCTCAAAGCAACACTGCCAACACCGTCAAAATTGAAGTTCTTGCATTACTCTTATTTCCGTCGATCAAACATCCGTTCCTGACGTCATAGTCAGCATTCGGCCAATTGTGGTGGGCCGACCACAGCGACGCTTTCGATCGCTCACGTCGCCAATAGGCGGTTCAGCCTTTATCGAGCACGTGAGGTCAGTGTTCACCCACCAGCTCATTCTATTTATCCAGGATCGCCTGCTCGGCTGAAACTAAAATTATCGTCGCTGCACCCAGATTTTTTCCCGGGCACTGGAAATAAACACCGCTTCCGAGAAAAATACTAAACACCCAAAAACATTCCGCAATTTGACGAAACAAAATATTTCTATAACATAAAACCCTATTTATGCGCCACCGGAATGTCCATGCTCCTATGCCTCGCGCAACGCTACTCATTGAACTGATAGCCACGCTCCATATGAAGCACGAATGTCTCAGTGACTCGAAACGTAAGAAGACGTAATCTTCCGTAACATAAAGCAACGTAAGAAAAGAGTACTGTGTAAAATGATCTTAACGGCCGAAGGATATTTGACGGCGTACATTGTATGACGCGCTGTGGGAACCGGCTCTAATAACTCACAGTCTTGCAGTGATTACGGCTGCCATCTCCACTCCTTCGTAGTTGCCGTTGTCCTTAGCAAAGCCATACTTATGTCTGGTGCACACGCCTCCTCGAACAGCAAACCCTGCGGTGCAAAGCAAAGAAATTACAGTGAGCAGTTTTCTAGAGGTAATGACACCGCCCTTAGAATTAGCATTCAGGCCATAGTCAGCTCACGTTATTGGCATAAAGAAAAAAAATAATACATGACCACACTGACTCGTTGAAAAAACACGACAATCCGTGCAGAATAACGGATGGCACTCATTATACTTGAGTGTCAAAATGAACGTCGGCGTTAACGATCGCTTATACTGCGAGCGTGAACACAACCGTCACCAAACATCTAGAGAAAAATGCTTAGACACCTCACAGGGAGGGTTTGGTGAAGTAATCTCCAAACAATCGTTCACAGCACAAGGAGGGAATGCAAAACGTGTAAAACGTTGAAAACGATACTTATTATGGTCAGATTCAACGAAATACGATATGTCACTCTCAAGTTTTGGCATGGCATCTAAGTTGAAAACCACGCCATCCTACAGAGCTGTGTGTGGGCGCCACAATAACTGTCCCTCATTTCTGTTTTCTTTCATTCTGCTCGCTTCACTTCAGCACCGTGGTCGCACGACAAGCTGTTGACCTTCTCGGTAGCGCCATGTTCTTGTCTCCGATAGTCGGCGACAGGTTAAGAGTGAGGTGGAGGCTCCTCGCCCTTCCCTCTACTCTAGCAGAGCGAACGCTGGAGAGGAGGTTGCCTTCTCTCCAGCGTTCGCTCTGCAAAAGTGGAAAGAGGTGGTGGGAGCTTAACCTGAGACCGACTATAGGCCGTTCTCGCGTGACAGTCGCCATCACGTAGTTGGGTTGGGCGACAAAAACTAAAGTCAATAGCTTAAGCATAATTAAAATAAAAAGGTAGAGCCAGGAAAGAAGTCGAACACTGACACGCATCCCTTTATTTCTAGTGTCTTGAACGGCAAATAAACTGATTTGCTCTTTTGCCCAAACTCAGCTACGTTTGAATTCAACATGGCGTCCGGCACGAAAAAAGGTTCCTAGACGTTGCTCGTTTTCTTCCGTTCTCAGTCAGGTGGGTTCCGTATCTGGTATGCGGGATGAGAAAAGAATAAAACATTTCAACCTGGAATATGTGAGAAAATATAGGTGAGGCAAAACAAGGATCTGTGAGAATCAAGCATTTTTCGTGAACACATTGCAGTGGCGTGGAGAGATCAAAACGATGTTTTAACGGATGCCAGATGTGACGACGTTGAAAATGGCTGTGTCCTTGTGAAAAAGGTGTCTAGGCAAGCTTTGGGTAGATATGTTCCTTCCCATTTCTTTGGCTCGGCACCTCGACGAGGTAGCAGAAGGTCAGTTATGACAGCTCAAGTTTGGCGCTCGGGAAAGGCGTCTATACTCGTCTTCTAAACCTCTGATAAGAGTTTAATTGAAGGTGCAGTCTTGAGCTCACATATATCAACTTCGTGGGAGAACTCACCCCCATATCACTGCCACTGGTGCCCCCATCCTATTCGCACACTCCCCTTCATAAGACGTCTAGAAAAGGCGGCGCCCACAAAAAGCAAAGCTCCCAACACAGAACAATGACAGCGTGCCAATGCTCCCTTTTTTGACAAACCACTGCCCATTGACAAGCGATAAGCATCAACAGTTTGCAAAGTTCATTCAATATACGAGTACGTATCATATAGGGTGTCTACAATAGATATTGGCACGGCAAAACAAGTGGGAAATGCACTCGCCTGAACATCGAACGCTCAAACTTTCAGCGAATGTACTTACAGCTGCAGCGAAAAAAAATAGCACAAGTGACCGGTCACCTGAGAGACAAAATCGCTACATGCGGCGCTACTCTTCGCGAGCGCGCCGATAGCGAGAGTGCCAGTCACGTTCTATGTCTCAACGCGGGTGTGGCCGGCGGAAAATTGAGCGACAAGATAGCTTTCGAAATGTGGGCTTTAGGATGGGTCACTTTCTGCCGGCCACCATCGCGTTGAGACATGGGACGTGACTGGCACCCTTGCGATCGGCGCGCTCGGGAACAATAGCCCCTCGTGTCGCGATTCTGCAGCTCCGGTCGTCAGTCACCTGTGCTATTCTATTGCCGCTGCAGCTGTACATTTAGGTGGTGCATTTTGCCTAGTGAAAGCATGAATCGTGGTCATGATAGGCCACGCCTCCCGGTTCTTATGCTGACCGGGAATATGATCTCTGCTGTTGTAGGTTTGATCGCGGATCGAGGCTTGTTTTGAAGGGGTAGCCCGGCGCCACCGGCAGCCGTCACTTGACACAGCGAATGCATGGGACTCTACGGGAGAAACGGGGGAAACTGCAATATCTTGCCTTTGTAGGTTATTATCGACTATGAAATATTTCTATGTTGATTTTCATCCGAGACTGGGGCAGCAGTAAATTCTTCACAGTGGAAGAGAAAGTAACAGGGGCAGGCAACGTTTGTCCCGGCAACTTTCTCTTCCACAGCAAAGAAAAACAATTTTATCCTTCTGTTTTAATTTTGGGTTGAAATTATCACGGTAAACTTCCACCAGCTCGTCTGGGCACTGACTGTAATTTTGTGAATGAAACTTTTATAGTGTTTTCCGAGAATGATAGTTAATATTCTGGGCACAAATATTGAAAACGCTGGGTTACCACTCTTTTTTCAAATCGTGGTTGAGGGTCGAGGGCTACGAGTTTGTTGGGCGTAAACTCTGATGCGGTTCAATGAGACAAGGTTTGCTGAGAGTCAATGGGGTGTCGTTTGTGATCTAGAAGTCGTTAGAGCTTAGCAGATTATAAGTTTGAAGGTATTTACTGAGGTCATTCGCATCATTTCGAGAGCCGTACAGATTATTTCTGGTTCCAACGTTTGTCATTTCTTTAGCAACTGAAGCAAGCGAAGCCTGCACAGTCAATGGTGCTCCGGTACATTATTTATTATTTTTTTTATATCGGCGTTTGAACGTTTGACAAACACCGATTTGACCTCCAAACACCCGATATAACGATCGCAGCACATTACAAAATACTCGTCTACAGGCTTCAATATTCCTACATTTGTGTGTTTCTCATACTTGCATGTATTGCCTGGTGTCAAGCAATGGCTGCCGGTGGCGACAACGACGGGCTCCCGATCCGCGATCTAGCCTACTACAATAGACATGTATCAGTGGACTATACTGACTATTGCTAAAATCTATTATTATAATAATGAGATAGAGACATGTTGAACTCACCAACAGCATCGTCTTCATTCTCCCGAATGTTTGATTCACTTAGAGAGTACCTAAACGGATGTTACGAAGGAAACGTTATATGGTGTACAATTACACTAACGAAAGTAGATGCCTATAAACCCACACCTAAGTTCTCAACTAGAGGCGGCAAACGTATACGCTAAATCAAAACGAAACATCAAAATTCAGATTTCCATATTTTAATAGTTAGAATCAACCATCATACAGGCTTAGCTTGCCATTGGAAATGACGGCCTTTTGCAGTTACACAGCACGTTGGAGTGCCAGATGTAGACAAAAAATGGCGTTCTCATAACCGATATTCTGTGTGTGTGTGTGTGTCTGTGTGTGTGTGTGTGTTTGTGTGTGTGTGTGTGTTTGCATGTCTGGTTTTGCAATCAGCAAAACAATATAGTCACTGCATGTGGACCCGATTGCAGAGCAATTCATTCCTGTGCCGATGATTCGCTCGTAGACACAAGATGAATACAGACGACTCCCTTTTAAGAAACAACAGTTGCGTGTAGGGGGATTGGTGAACGATCAGTAAAGAGAAAAACAACACTGCCAGCGACCTTGGACTTTAATGTCATATAATGCATAAAATTAAGTATTTAAAAATATCACAGTAAAAGAGACTACGCATTTCCAATGGCAACGTCTCGGTCCTTATTTTTAGCAACCACAGAACCTATTGGCGTGGGAGTTACAGTTTTGAGGTATATTATTTTCAGATTCTGAGTTCATTTATTTTTCGCGGGGCCTGGAATTTGGGAAAAGAGACAATTTTTTTATCTTCCACTTTCTAGCGTCCCATCATTGAAATAATTAAAGACAAAATACAAGTTGTTGTGCCGAGTTGCTGTGTAAAATGTATATGTGTTTCTATATCTGCTAATGGATTTCATCGCTGCACTCTCTACCGCTTCACAGAACTCCTCCTCCTCCATCAGCAATGTGAGAGCGGCTAGCCTTCTAAAGGCCAGAAGGTGTAATTAACTCATCTGTGAAGTCCTCCTTTGCTCGTGTCGCTCATATTTTCTCAAGTATTTATCTAATTTCTAAAACGCCGATTACTCGCAGCGTTGCCATGCGCTTTCATTCCGCAGCTGTCATCGAGGGGGGCAGTGGACGGAAGACTAGCCAGTCTTTCTGGGGACCATAGTTGCACCTAGAATTATTGTGACGTTTTGCGACGAGATAACAAAGGGGCACGCTGGTGGCATCTCTGATGTGATCGTGGAGCTGCATTTTACTAAAGCGAAGGTTTTGCAAGTATTCGCGAGATCAAATGACCATTTCCCATGAACTGGTCATTTACAGTACTGTGAAAAGTTTTTCGAGCCAAGGCTAACTGATGCGCGAAAAACAAGAAAATATCAAAAGAGCTGCAAGCGTTCCATGGCTACCCTATGGATGGCGCCTGTGTGTCCTCTCGTGGTCAGATACTTTTTGAGCTTACAAGGCACATGGTCAAAAAAAGTCGCAAGCATGTGAATGACTCAGCCTTTGGCTCTGCCTGAATGGGCATCTGGTATCTTCGCTGTAGATGAGAAGTTTAGCCAGCGCAGAAGGAAGGCTCGCTGATACTGATACACGGCCGCACGCCGGTGCGACGCTCATCCGGATGGAATCGGGCTTCGCAACGCTAGTTTATCAAATGACAGAATCATACTCACTTGGTAAGAAAGATTACTACGTCAGCAGCGTCATGAGTTGTTCCACGCTTCAACAGACGCGGCGACTTCATTAGAAGGCTGACTCTCACTGCAGGAACCGTTCGCGGATGCTGTTCTCGTATAAATGTCTCAACAACAGAAGGCGCCTGTGAAAACATAAGGCACATGCACAAAAATGAACGCCATATTTTTGTGGAAGTAAAAGAGACTGTGATTGTAATTAATGAGCTAAGAAGTTTCTCACGCTATACACGCCAATGAGCCTCATGTGAATCCCTGGGTACTCCAGTGCCTCAAGTCGAAGGGCAACCTGCAATCAAACAAACAAAAATTGCCTCGGTCATTTTGATAGTAAACCCGGGTAGCACAGAACGTCCCTTGCATGTATTATGCGTCCGTTATGATTTGCTGTGTTTGGTTTCGGGGAGCTCTAGGCGGTTTCAGACAAGTTTAAACTTCTTTTGTGTCACGAACATGTATTAATAAAGAGAAGCTTTCATGAGTGCGTGTGGGGCCTTGCGTTTTTGGTGTTCTTAGCCTGTGAGGAGCGTCTTGCGGTAAGTCAAGTAATTACGAAGAGAGGAGGTTTATTCGCATCTTAACGCTGGAATTTTTTCTGAAGCTTTGACTTCATACGCACGCAGCACTAGCCCTTGGTACAATATGGTTCACACAGAGATGTAATGAGTTCACGTGGGACAGCCACTCTTCTTCATTCGAAAACCAGCTGCGTGCGCCGACGGTTACCTGCGGACTGAGCATGCTGGACACACTCGCGCCGCCAACAGCCCTGGAATTGATTCCAGGAAGCCTTGAATAAGTTCCAGGCTTCCTTTCTTTTCAACACTTCTCTCTCTCTCTCTCTCGCCTGCGGACTCTGCGGAGCTCAAGTTCGTCTGCATCTTTTGCAGGGGTTAGGGTGACGTCAGAACGCCGGGCTCTGATTGGCTCTGATTGAAAGATAGTGGGTAGACCTCAAGGCAGCATATGCTTTGAGGTTTACCCACTATCCTTTAATAAGAGCCAATCAGAGCCCGGCGTTCTGACGTCACCACAACCCGTGCAAAAAAAAGCAGACGAACTTGCGCTCCGGATACTCCGTTTCACATCAAGTCCTACCGCAGCCGATCCTACAATTCATTGGAGCCAATCAAGAAATGACAAAGGTGCCATCGTCATGGCGCTCTTCACCCTTTCAGCATTTGGCATTACCGACCAAACCAATCGCGCACGATGAGCGCGCCGTACGCGTGATTGCTTTGATCGCTGATCGCGAACGCACAAAGACGGCGATTGCAGTGACGTTGCAGTTTCCGCCTCGCTTGATTGGCTCCATCTGATCCTATAGCGTCGGCGGCGGTCGGACTTTGTGTGAAATGGACTGCGGAATTAATATCAGGATGCTCAGGCGATAGCGTTTTCTTCTATCATGGACTAGCCTTAGCCTTCACACTTCTTTGAGTTGACCAAAATGCTTTTCCCACGATTTCAGCAAAACTGTAAATGACTGGCAAGAATAATTTTTAGCACCAGGGTAGCTCAATGTGTCTCTGATCTAAAGCGCAACTAATTCCGCGACTCTTCGCGAAGCTCAGTCCTACGGAGGCGTTTCGGTATCTGAAATATGTCTTTAAAACTCTGAAGATTCGCCGTTTCTAGGCTGGGATCGTACAAGCGTCTAATCAAAATCAAGTATAAGTTAGTTATTTTTGAAGAACAGAAAAGAAAACCAATCAACAAAAAACTCACGGATTGGCCGTACAGGATCAGGTATGTCAGTGGGTCCTCCCTGACTGGGCCGACAAATATCGTGTTCAGGAGGTCAGCTCCGGCCACAATAATAGCCTGCATAGTCACATCTGAAGAAAAAAAAATTAACGTGTGAGCAGTCATTTGGCAGCTTTAAGGTGCAACCCCACCCTTGGTTAGTGTGATTCTGAAGCAACAGATGGCGGTGGGATTGCCTTCCAGGCCTGTACATCAATGCGAGAAGTGGTGTGTTGTGGCGCTTCGACACAATGGGGTATTTTTATATACTCTGAATTTGACATTCCTGGTCCTTCGCTTGTTGTTCTCTGCACGAGCTTTCTTAGGAACGCGGACGGCTGCGCCAGTTCTCGTGCAAGGGGGCCAGTTGCATATGCTCCGAGCTCAGGTCCACTGATCTCTACTATAGGGGGCTGGATTGCGCTTAGCTGCTCTCCGAGCCTGGCGCAAGTGAAGCCACCGGAAGTTCGATGCTTGTCCCGGAAGTTGGGCGTGCGCTGGGCTTCCTAGTGCATTCAGTCGATATTTTAGATCATGCTTTTTTGTGTCTTTGATTGGGTTATAATACTCCCGTTCTGGATTAAATCCCGAGAATGAGGCATTTGAACTTGGGACATATTCACAACTTGATCAACTAGAATCTCAAAATGTTTACATTGAATGGCTTCCCATGATACTTCTCAGGTCCGTATGCGCTCTCAAGCAGGCTCTCTTGAGGGAACAAGCGAAAATCTAGTGCCCTCGACCCTTTTCGAATTAGCACTCGGAAGGGTTACAAAGCCTGCCAAGCGCTCACTTCCGGGACAAGCCGCTCACTTCCGGTGGCTTCATACCTGTTTGCTCAATGCGCCATCCAGCCCCCTCTAGTGGAGATCAGTGCTCAGGTCTCCAGCATATGTGGTCAGAACAAAACGCGATAATCGTCCTTCTTCATATGGTGAGACACATGCACAACAAAACAAGCGACGCGTTGAATAATATAAAATTGCCTGTGTGCGGTTAGCACGCCGCGGAGATTTCGAAGGCCAATTATACACGTTTCAATGTGATCAGATTTATATGACGGGCCAGCCCTTTTGTCGTGCATGCGTTTGTCCCTTTATGGATTTCCAGGAAAATGTGATGACGTATAATAGACTGAGGTTTACAAAATTATAGCTTGAGGAATCAAATACCTAAAAAATCAAAACAAATGAACTATTTTTTGGGCGGTCAGGTGTCTCATTTAGGTAGCTGGGTATTTATTTTGACCAAAACCGTGAGACTGGAAAACACAAAAAATGACATTCAGGTTTAGATATTGAGTTTGGTAAACCCAAACTAGGACTGGTGTGGAAGTTATCATAAAGAAATGCCAATGTTAAAAATTAACTCGCAGCAATAATTGATAAAGATTAATTTTAATACGAGTTTAGTGATAACTTCAATAACTGGCCAGGCAAAGAGTCTGGGTCTGTGGATAGCTTTTGCAAAAAGTTTAAGAAATGTACCAGTTTTAATTTGGTGATTTATGCGCGCAAATTGTGATGTGCAAAAATTAAAGATATGCAAACGGGTAGACTATGATGCTGTATAAAATATAGTGTAAGCGCGCACATGGTACGCTGATTAAGACTGAAACAGCGCTACATTTTTAATTAGCGTTGAGCGTATCAAAAGTTAAGGGTGCATCTAAACCTAAAGCTTGTACACATATACTGCTCAGGCCGTAATGTTTGAATGTTCATAGCATTTTATTACCCTCAGATTTGGTGTAAGTTGTCTCCTGATTACTTACCACAGAAAGAAGAAAACATCCAAACTCTTGGTTGATAAAAAATTCCACTCGCTGACAGCTACCAATAATCTCGGCGCCGATTATGAGTATTCACTGCATATCAACGGTCGCGTGCTTAGAACGAGTTTCTCCCACGTGATTTCATACAATCGCAATTTTTCTTGACAAACATTGTTTGCTCACGTAAGCGGCCACATGTGAAGTTTATAATATTTTGTATTGATTGTGGCACACATGACAAGTAGCATATGTTTGTTTGTTTTTTCACAGTACGCGAAACAGAATGCTCCTGAGTTCACTTGGTCTCAATGCATGTAGCACACAAAAGAACATGAGGTGAATCGTAGTGGGAAACGAAAACAATAATGATAAACAAGTGTGTAATCACGTAATAACTGGGGGCGTTGCACATATGCACAAGGTAAGCTTCGCTTCACTAAATCCATATCCAATGAAGTCTTTGGTTTTGTCGTGCAAGCAAAGCGGAACATACAAGCGCGAGCATGCTGCCTTGAACTACTCTTCCAGTGAATAAGCGCACCGTTCAAACCATGGGGCTCGCTTGTATAGCTTTTGGTGCGTTCAAACCTTTTAAAACACAATTATAATCAATTATATGATTTCATTTCTTTTTATTCAACGCAACTATATTTTTTTCTTGTTTTATTGTCTTTTGCGTTCATGTTAGTTATATAATATTTTAGTTATAGTTATATAATATTAGTTATAGTTCGTTAGTATAATATTAGTATAATATTAGTTATAGTCACGTTAGTCCGCATAATCAAAGATGTAGACAAAAAAGAACGCAAACACACATTAAAAATGCAATGTGATGGCGCATTCAAAGTTAGTTGTTAGTTTTTTTAAAGAGCAGGAGCTTCGTAGGGCGACATTGTCACCCGTTGTAGATTATAAAAAAGTGCAGTACAACTGATAGCTCGGGGTCCTTGACGTGCACCACGCAGTATATGTGATACACGATGGCACGACGGTAGAATGCAGATGGTGACAGACCCCAGGGTCCCTGCTAAAGCCCCTTGATAAAGGCGTTTTTTCACAAGTATCGTCAAACATTGTTGTGGAAACGCGCAAGACACGCGCCACAAGGGGGTGCTCCGCCGCCATTCGCTTTCAAGGGCCAGTCATTTTAGTGCTGCGCCGCCATTTGCCTCCAAGGGTCGCTCGAGGCACGGGCCTCGTGCAGTGGCACATTTTATGTAACTTGAAAGACCAACGCAAACACATCGAGGGGCTTTAGACCCTACTAGAGTGCCTTTATACACACGCGCGCTTTTGCTTGAATGGTGGAATCTCAGCCATTTTTCCGCCCAATCGTTTTTTTTTAAATGCATTTTGAAGTACGCGCAATCCGGTGTCACTCAGCTCGAGCGCGTAGCTTTGGCTAATGCATAGACGCCATTTTACCGCACTGGCGAATTTCTCCACGTGCTCTGATCTGCGGAAACACAGTGATTTACCTACACCCCCTTCGGCCCTACGGGGGTGTACTCACCCCTCACCCTTGTTTTCTGAAGGCACACCCTTAATTCGCTACGACTCCTATATTCTCAATGCCACCCCCGCTCCACCTAAATCGCCTCCTAAAATTTAGACCCCCCCTCCCCTAATTTCAATGCCCGGGCAAACTCTGACAAACTCGGAACGATCCCTCACCGTACTTGGCTTAGCCTGGGAGCTAAACCAAATGAGCTGCGCTTAGAGTATCGGAACTCTTTTCCCCGATATTGTTGTGGGCGCCGCCATCTTGGTAATTAGTACAAATCAAACGCAACTGCCGGTCGTCTCGATTTAAAAGTGCGACTTCCTCAGCATTAGTTTCGGTGTTAGGAAACTCACGTAATATTGCTTTGCTTTGTCGCGAACTGTTTAAACATTTGTGGAGGACGGAAGAGCGTTTGCTGTGATTTCAGATAAAGCTCTATATAACTGAGAACCATCCTTTTCAGCACCAAGGTGTGTATGAAGTGTAGCTTATTTAGTTGCTTTATAGTTTAGCCCGACCCCACAGGCACAGAAAGAGAACGAACTGCTTAACCTCGCGCTCTTGGCGCTGCTTCAGTGGCCTCATCAGCTCGTAGCGTTGGCTGCGCTCCGAACTAAGGTAAAGCAAAGAAAATATTTAGATCTTTGGGTTTTACAAGCCAAACCAACAAAAACCACTTGACACGCCCCAATAAAAAAATATTTATTGCGGGTTTATTTTGACTAACTGAAGATCTTTTGACGTACAACCGAAATCTCCGATTGGCCTCCGACAGATTGCGATGGGCCAGCGCGTTGGCTAAGAGACACTGAGACGTTTTAATTCTTTGTGTTTTGTTTTAATATCATTGCCACTTAAGAGCCACCGAAGTGGTTTTTGAAACAAAATATAGTCGAACTATTCCGAAAATTATTTTACAAGTGATAAAACATTCAAATGTTTTCGAATATGTGGCGGAATTCCTTTCATGGAGCACGCTTCATTTGGATCGCGTCAGGCATGTGAACCGACGCACAGTAGAACGCGCGCAAAAGCAGCTGTGGTGCACCCGCAGCCTCGCGCTTGTTGTTATGACATCTCTGGCTCGCTCACTGCGGGCATCCAGGCATCTGACACCCTGACATCTGGCGCTTTTTCTGTTTTTCACGTGGCGTTCCAAGTGGCACACGACATCAAGCTATTCTTGAACACGTGTCGCCATTTGTATTTTATATGAAGAAACTGCAATTTGCCGTAACTGAATGGGAAACTTTTAAGGTCTAATAACATTCTTAACGTGCAATATATCAATATGGAAGTTCTGGGAAATGCAATACCGATGGATGCTTCATAATTTAATGTCTCGTAATTTCGATTAGTTGACGTGATTCTGTTTTTATAGCGCCGTAAAATAATACCAATTTAAACTTTATTTTTTATTTAAAATATACATTATCTGCACAGTTCATTGCTGACTTTTGTAATTAATTATATCCTACCGAACGCTCACGTAAAATATCGTGGACAGTGGGGCGTTATAACTCGAGAAATAATTTTTTCAATATTAGAGACTGTGGTTTATTAAAATCTGAATAATTAACTAACCACTAAACATAATCGTAATATCGAGACATTAAAGTATTGTTGAAAAGTATCTCTTTAATTTGACATAAACTTTATAATTGTAGGACACATGGACAGAAAGTTATAAACCGTGAAAAAAGCACCAAAACGGCAGGCACTGTGAGGTTGCACCTTAATGGCAGTGTTTTCTGTTAACCACACGACGGGCAGGTTCGTCGACTTTTTGCGTAACTCGCGCATTTGTTGTTCCGCCGAATTCACCCACGTGCTTTTGTTTTCCCACCTCCTGAACCATCCTCAATCAATTTCAGCGCACTTGGCTGCCTCGTCATCGCTCGTTCCCTTAGGCGTTCACCATGTTATTTCTTTGATTGGCGGGCCCCTCCTACGAAGCGACAAGCCTGAGCGCAATTAGCCAAGCAGTACGTTGGATTGGTCATGGATAGACATAATGAAAAATAGCGCAGAATAGACGGAAGAATACTTGTCCCTCTCCTGTGTCTTTCTTTTTGACCAGTCTATTTGGCGTTGTCTTGATTGTTATTAAAACCTTAATCCTCAACTAAAAAGCGAAATTAGAAATCACGTGGTTATGACGTGCTTCGGCACCGGAGGCGATGAATCCAAGCTTCCACCCTGATTTTTAAGCATACTATAGAACTTGGCATTCTCAAGTCATGATAAGTGACGTCACTACACTCATTGGCCACGAACAGCAATTCAAATATTCTTCGGCTGATTGACTGTTGACGGACGCATACGTCCGAGTTACGCAGGGCTCGTGTCCAGTGTGTGAGCTGGGTTCGGCTGACGTGTTTGTTTACCGCGGATACATCACAGTAAAAACGCGGAGAGCTTTCGAATAAAATAAGGTACGAAATAGTCACATATATTTTCAAAATTTTCGTAACGAAAAGCAAGCTTTGGGTTTTTTTTTTTACGTTCGTGCACTAGATTTCTTTTGGCGCACTAAACAATATGCTATTATTAAAATCCCCATTTATCCGAGCCGAAAATTAATTTAATGGTCCCTTTAAGCTGAAACAAAGTATTTGCGGCAAGAAGCTCGCTAGGGGCGCTCCTGTTTTCCTCACTATGCGTAGTGCACATGCCACACACGCGGTTATGTTTTAATTTTCATAGTGCGTATCATCTTAGCATTGTGCGTGCTTGCACCAGCAGAGGACGTTGAAGTATCCTCACTCTGGGTTGTAGACAAATTTCATCAGGCGGCGAGGCGAGTCCGAAACTTCTTGCCGCAAATAGGGCCTTCCACATAGAAGCACCTTCTCATTGTCTCCAACCCGACGACTTTACAATCTGCAAGACGCCGACCTTTCCGCAGCTGTTTACCTCTATACAACTCCTCCACGTTTTCTGTTATAACCCCGCGTAAAAAAAAAAAAAAAAAATTTGAAAAGGGGAAATAGAAAATGTTGATTCATATTCCTCAGAAAGAATCAAATATCGGTTGCTCTTTGGCAGCCTTTTCCTCCGAAAAGCAGTTTAAGGTCGCCGACTATCGAAAGAGTGCTTTATTGACGCACGAAGAATTAGGAAGGTTGAAATCTCTTATTCTCTGTGTACCACTTATAGTTTATCGAAAAAGAAAGAAAAAAGAAAAGACAGAAAATGGTTTATAGCACAGAGTGACGTCCTTTTCAAAAGCCTAGGCTAGTCAGAGGCACTCTTAAAGGCTCCAATCTTTCTTCTTCAACGGCGGTGATTAGCTCCTAATTGACTCAGTGGAGCCCTCTTAGGCTTCCGTTTGTGACGTAATAGGTAAGATTTGCCTCGCCGTGACGTAACGAACTGTAAATGTGGCTACTTATCAGAAGCTGCGAACTTCAGGCTCAAAAATGTGTGTAAAAAGCACGATGAGAACTTGGAGTCATAACATATTATAGAAATACCGTGAAAGTGGACAGTCTGACGTTCTTATTTCCGTCGATTAAAGCGAAATAAATGAAGTAAAGGCGTTATTGGTGACAAGATCAGATCCGTATATGCTGGAAGAGTTAGACATTGTTTTGAAGATACCAACTGGCTAGGAACCACAACCAGAGATCTGGCACCCAAATGTTTCCCCCGCCGTATTGTGTTACATGCGCATGCGTGTCGCCGCCATTACTTTAGTTCACAGGGGACTGGCGGCAGTGCACGATACGGCTCGTTCTGTCTGATACTGAGCACGCGCAAAGCTCCAGCGAGGTCGTTGCACGTAGAAAAAGACTAAAAACCCTTCCCTACTCACTCGAAAATTTGTCCTTGGGCCAGTGGTGATGCTTAAATTTCCAATCTAAGAAATAAATAAAAACAATTTAAGCTGGGTTACTTTTCACTGTTCTTAACAGAAGGCGCTCCATACTTCATATACAGTACTCTGTACAGTGTTGTGAGAAGCAAGGATACGACTGGGGGGATTGGTAGACGAATGGGCTAGCGCACACTGGAACGCACGCCTGCTCGGAGCACGTGCAGCGAAAGCTCGCGCTGCAGAACAAAGGGATCCTGGGTTCAATCCGCGCCCCTGCCCGTTTTGATCTGGATGAGCATCGTACTGGAGTGCGGTCGTGTATCACTACTGCGTGATGCACGTTCAAGACCCCAGGCTAGCGGTTGTACTGCACTGAATAAATTTCTTATCAACAGCTGGGAAACTCGTCGCCCGTTGAGGCAGAACAAGTTCTAGGCTATATAAACATACCATAGCCTCTTCTATACTCAGAAAGCCTGGCAGTTCGACGACGGAGCCATAGAGTGCCCGGTTGCAGATTTGGAGCGCGAGGATTTGGTAGCACAGAGCATTTCTCGGGAAGCCTGTAGTCAGCGCACAGCTTTTGCAGCGGCGAGTACCCGAAACGCGGTTTTAAAATCCGACGGGAAAAGAAGCGGTAGCACGAGGAACGTGAGGAGCACGAAGGTACATTTCATTGCTCGGGACAAGTGTGCTTCGGCGTCTCGCGCAGCAGCGGGGTGCCCGTTACATGCCTCTCCTCTCATCCGTTGTCTTCCGCTCTACCTTTTCACTTTCGACGGCCGCGTCTCGTGGCGATCTGCCAGGCTTTGTCAGTATAGACCTTTCCGATGTTTACAAAATCACAGTCTAGCGTGCAATCTTCACAGCCCAGCACGTGTGTGTTCGTTGCTTCGGAAAGCGAGCAAAGCACGCGCCATACGCACGAGCGCTCAAAATGGCACCGGCCACAAGCTCTTTTTGGAAAGGTCTAAAGAGGAGGAGGCTATGAACATACACACAACCCAATTTTTAGAAATCTCCGTCCGATCTCTTTTTTTTTTCTTCAATTCGTTATTAACTGCCGAAGAAACTACAAAAAAGGGAAGCAGACAACATTACAATGAAAACATAAAAAAACAATAAAAAAAATTATGGCAATGAAGGGTAGAACTCAAAATTTCCTTGAGCGTTACAAAAAACGATCCACGCTCAGTGTTTGGCAGGGCAAACCACGTAGTTTTTTTTAAACGCTTTTTTTTATATTTGAGGTTGGTCACCGATCTTCCCTACCACGAGGACTCTGCAGTCCTGCGTCGATTAAAGCCCCTCTATCCTGGAAAAAAGTGGTGCCGTTCAAATTTTAGTACATGACTCTGGTGTATGGATAAGTAAACTGGTCAATGAACTATAATTCGGCTTGCGTGCACTCCAAACTACAGCTGAAAGACCCGCTAAAATAGAGGTCTTAGTAGTTAGTTGTAGCGGGTCATTTATGTGCTCCGATGAGGACACGCAGAAACAACACGCTGTACTACTTTTTTTTAAATATTTCATTGATGTGCTGGTTGCAACCGCGATAATCTATCACTTGCATACCTTGCGAAAACATTCCAACCTGAACTCATAAACCAAGTCCTTTTTATTTAGTTCTGCACCGACAAGTAGCGCCAGCATTTGAATATGTTGCTTTCAGGCCATAACCAAATCACTCCCGAGTATGCATTCAGCGAAAAGTAAAAACAAGAAACGAACCTACGCCCATGAAAATTGAAAAGTTCTCACCCTGCCATGCAATCAAAGAGCGAGATCTTCCCGTGGATTCGCTGTATATTCCATGCTTTCGTAGACATCCTTGCAGAAGCTCAAATGTGGACACTTTAACATCCAGTTTTCCACCAAAGCGCGGATATACAATTAGGGCTGTCGCAAACTTTCGTCGAAGCGGATTTTTAGGTCGAACGCACGGGGTTCGACAAACCTTCGAACTTTAACCAGATTCGACCAGTTCGACTTTGTGGACAGTGTGGCCAGACCTTGATACAAGCATGTCTAGGTTTGGAGTATCTTTTTATATAAAGGGTAATTTTAATTTTATGAAGAGTTGCAATTAAAGTAAGCTAATTCTGATCACTGAAGAAGTTATTAATTTAATTTCTTTTTGTACTGTATTAACTGAAATAACCAATCAGTGCTGCCCTTAATTCATCCCTTAGCCATCTCCATCCAATCCGAAGTCAACTGGCCAGCCTGTTGCGCATGCGCATAGCAGTCGAACCTGAGTCGAACCTTTGTCTAACTTTTTCCAAGAAGTTCGGAAAAGTCAAACCTGGTCGAACTCGGACCTCGACCGGTTCGCGACACCCCTATAGGAAGTATTCACTAGCGGCCATAGCTGTGTGCGCGACTGCTGAGCGCGTGCTGATGGCGAGCTTCCATAGTTCTTTTGTAACGTGCATTCCGCACCCTCAAGATTGCCGGTCTTAGCAGCCTATTAATGAGGGCTCGTTCTGAGCATGCGCTCTAGACAGCACCCACAAATATGGCGCCCAGGGAATGCTCCTTATATACAACATCTGTACGAAATGACAGCACCGACAATCGAAAAGCAGCGTTCGCACGAGGCCACGGCTATGTTGTATTCCAAAAAGTGCTCGATCTTACTCAAGAGTTGAACTTCCGACCCTCGTCGTCCAAAATCTACTCGCGTCTAGAGTTGTTCTCGTTGATTCCTCCAGCCTTATTGTCACGTGACCCAACCCGCAGAGTAGCTCAAAAAAGCCGTCGAAGAAAAGAACACGACGGACAAAAACAGCGCCGTCCTGTCGTGTTTGTTCCTTTACTCTTGTCCAAGTTTCTTTGCCCCTGGTTCTTCCCAAGATGTTCACCTCAAACCAACTAGCCCAACACGTCACATTGTGACAAAAACAAAAACGCGACGCCGTGGCGCTACTTTTGTTTTATCTTTTTTTTTTGTTGGTGTCGTCCCCGTTGTAGAGAGAGAGGGAAAGTAAAGAGCGTGCATTGCAAAGAAGCCAACTGTCAAGGGGAGCCTTGCGAAGAAGGTCCTACCAGTTCAGCCTACTCATGGAGATGCGCCTTGAAGGGAGAGAGGGAAGCGCTACGGCCTTAGCTTTAGGTGGTGTTCGTAAGGCATCCCCCCCCCCCCAAAAAAAAAGGGGGGGGGGGGGGCGTCAAAATATTTGGCGTCCCCACGCTTTCCTTTTTTTTTCTTTCCTTCTATTCTGGAACGTGTGAACGGCGTCTCTTGGCTCCATCTCTTAGCGTCTGAGCTTTGACCTGTGCTTCGACGGCGTTCGCACTTTTGTAGCGTGAGCTACACTGGCCGAGGTTGGGCAGTTGCGCGAGGAGCAGTGACGTCACTGGGCGCACAGATGGTGCACCGGAGCCGCCGCCGCTGCGCGCGTCTGGCCGGTCTGCGCATTCCAGCTGGGCCGCGGCAGACGCACTGGCGCCGCCGCGTGCCCAGCTGTGCGCCTCCGTTGCGCAGTAGCCAAGTCTGACGCTGCACCGGAGCCACTTGATAGCACCTCTCATATCTTTTTTTTGTAATTTCTTCGTGATCGCGATTCGCACCAGAGCAGGCACGCTTCTACAGTGTGACAATTTGAAATGCTCAAGTTAGTACTACCCAAAACAAACCCCTTTTCGCAGCGCTTTCTGGGCAACGCAGGAGGCCCACGCCGTAGACGTAGTTGTCACGAACCGCATGCTGGAAACACGGAAGGACGCTGAAGCTCCAAACGCCAAGAGAGCCATGTCTGTGAGTGCGTGCAAGGGGACACCACGCGTTGGGCAGGCAACGTCACCACCCCACCAACCACGGTGGCCGTTTCGAATAGGGCGGATCGGAGTGTCGCAATACAGGGTGTTCAAAATATCCAGGCTCGGGCTAAACTGGGCCGTAAAGATGCGTGTTTGCCCGTAGAAATCTAAACATTTCGTCGACGGCGTATTTCACCTTCTGGTTTATCTGGTAAACTTACAAAGCGTAGCTCCCTTTCTGAAAAAAAAAATAGGGCCAAAACACTTGCCAGGGTCAATGACGGACGGCGATGCAGACGAATGAGTCGAGTGGCAAGGCGCGTTTGGCGCACGTATGGGACGCGGCAGGTTGTACTCCCACTGCTCGCTAAACTAAGCCGGTTCATACTGCCGCCGGAGGTCCGTGTTTCGGCGGGGGGTCTCGCGAAGATGAATGGGTGCAGTGCAAGCGAGCGCTGACTTTATTTTCATGCAGTGCTGAGATACACTACATCGTCAACGGGGCAATTGAAACCGAAACCTTGCCACTCCTCTTTATGGCCAAACAGGTGCCATAATGCAACGCGCGCAGCGCTGTGCAAAGAGATTTTTGGAAGTAGTCTATTGGAGGTAGTCCCACCTCCGGCGCGAAATTCCCACTTTCGATGACGATTCAGCGTCTCGGTGAGCTTCGAGGGTGCACGCGCAAACGAAGCACAACGGACGGCAACGAGCGCGTGCTGCAAGCTGGGACTCCAGAAAATCCACCCTGCGCTTTTGTCTCGTGATAAGCTTAAATCTTAAAGATACGCTGACAGAAACTGCATAGCTTTCGGAGTATCTTTCGAAAAGGCAAACACTACACTAGATGCTCCGAGAGCAACTGGAAGCCAACGTGTTAATGCGGAGAGTTCATCTGTTGAATTACCGCACAAAATAAACCGTCACTACTCGTACAACTTGTGCGCCTCCATCTGACGAAAAATGAAACTTCGCTAATTCACAGATTACAAAAAAGAAGTCATCCTCAATTTGGCCAATTCCTTCGGACTCTCTTTGACCTCGAACCTTCCCTCAAATTCACCCTCCGCGCTGTTCAGAAGAACAAACTTGGCGTGACTTGCACGTTTTCAAACATTTGTATAAACTCCTTGCACTGACGTCACATCGCACACATTTGAACACCAAGTAAAAGGAGGAGAGAGAAGCTGCTTTTGTAAGAATTTTGAGTGGCAGGTTAATCTTCTATAATCTTCTGGGAGGAGAACGGCGACGCCTGTGCAAATCCGGGAGGCACAAAGCAGGATCCTGATAAGAGGGGAGCTCCTTCTTCCCCTCTTCTCTGGAGGGCAACGGAAATGACGTCCTGTGCAAGCCACGTATATCTACGGTGTGCACCGGAAGAAAGCTCTGCCTGGCGTTGTACTCCGCCAAATTGCTGAGGCAGTTATCTCACTAAAGCATCTGAACACGCTTCACATCTACACGATGGGTCTCTACATCGTGGCACTTGCAGCTCTACATCAGCCTTCAGGATTCCAGCAGATGGCATAAACTGGAGCGGACGGGTTCAAGAGCAAATCAGTTCAACCACCGGTCAGCTTACTACTATTGGTAGAGCCCTCAACTTCATTTTAACTCCAACGCCCATAAAACTGATCATAATCCTGAACTCTGAAACGGCGCAACGATTCTCTATACCAGAATCTTACGACGAGACTCTCATCGACGCAAGATATACTTAAAAAATCTTTCTCGTCTGGGATTGCAGAAGACTTGTACGTAACGAGTTACAAGTAAGTGATTACTTGTAATCAATTACATTTTATTGTACATTTAAACAGTTGAATGACTTTTTTTCGGTAACGTTCGCTGTAATTCAATTACTACTTTTGTGTAATCAATTACAAGTAATCAATTATATATTTCCGGAATAGCTCAAATCATTGAGCTGAGTTTCTTTTTACGCAAAAAAAATCGCTCTGTCTGCTCGTTTGTCAATCGTCTATGTTGCACCAGTGTTGGACACCTTTTTGATCCCTAAACAACCAAAAAGAGATACCAAGATACCAGAAGAATTAGGATGTCAACGCGCTCTGCAACGTCTTGACTGTGGAGCTGTCGAGACTGCCTTGTTTCCCGTGTACGGGTTATTCCGGTCCGGGTTTTCCGCGGCCTAGACGACTGTGTTCTGCACTCACCTAATCTAAACTCGGAAGCTTCAGTCGAAGCACCGTGCAACCACGAACTTGTACGCAAAGTGTTTTGTGTGCTACTACACTACTCTTCACTCAAGCGCATCCGTCGAGAGGGTCTTCAGCGTCGCGGCAAATATCTTCACCGGAAAACGTGCCAAGATGGCTGACGAGAACTTTGAACATCTGCTGTTGATGCTTAGCAAAGTTCAAATGACAAAATGAAACAAATGTAACTACTTTTAACATATCTACGCACTTTCTGTTTCCTAATAAAAAGATAAAAAGTAACGTGAAAAGTAATCTGTTACTTTATGGTAATTTTTTCAGTTACTTTTGTGATGCAGTAATTGATTGCTGTAATCAGTTACGTTTTTCAATAAAGTAATCGTAATTGTAATTGGTTACTTTTTCAGTAACGCCTACAAGACTGCATTGCAGGTAGAGTTTTAGTAGGTGCTCTCATATGTGGGTTATTGGAGAACAAGAAGGCGGATTAGTTCGTTTAGGCTCGCGCACAGTTTACCACGTTTAATCCCCAAGCCCGAAGAACCTCAAGTCTCAAGGGACTGCGCTGAGCCATCGTATGGAACGTTAGCGACCACCTACCGAACCAAATTCGCGGCACACCAGGCATGTCTAACTGGGAGTGTGAATCGAAAGAAGGCTAGGCTTCTCCTGATTCTTCGATGTATCGGTGCGCATTCACACGAGCCTTTCGCTCGAATATATGCATTGTCGACAACGCTGACGGCCTCACATGCTGCGACAATGAGACCTCTGCTACACGTTCTGCTACACTGCATGGAATACTCGGATGCCTGTCAGGTCTTGCTCGCTAAGTTCCCCGCGATCGGAATCAGAAAACCTTCGGAAAAGACCATCATCATCTCTTCTAGCGCAATTCGCCGGCGCCGGAAAATTCAAAACTATACTGGAGATTCTCGACTCTCGAGTCGATCGACCTTGCTTATAGACTAGAAGTTTCCCTCTCCTCAAAGTACGACTCATCCCATTTCTCCTCTCTGTCTACACTTTCTTCTTTCTGAATTCTTTCGAGCTTCTTTGCCTTTCTGTCTCTATCCCTTTCTTTCTTTAATTTTTCAAGAAAAAACAGTTCGGCAACCCTGCCAGAACAAACATCCCCCCCCCCCCCCCCCCCCCCTGGTATTAGAACACTGTTACGCTGGGAATGTTACTCTACTCCAGTTCCTGTTCACTGAACTACTATTTTAAATGTGACTTTAATTGGTCTTACCTCTACTCATCTCCAGTTTGTCGAACCATTCGGGGTCGCCTTCATCTATTTGAAAGAAGGGCAGAGTTAAATAATATAAAATATTGCTCTTATATTGATTCAAATAAAAAGTTCAAAAACTGTACAGATGTGACAGCTAAGTTATTTAAAATAATTGTGCGATAATCAAATTAAAGCAGTCCCTCTTTCCCACTTAGATATAAGAAATATTTTGCTGTTATTAATTTACTTCTGACTACTGCTTCGGGACATTGTATTTATGTTCTTTCTACGTCACGTGGTACCTCAACGTGACGCCACGACACCACGTGATCTGGAATGGTCCGACAGATGTCAAGTTGTCACGTGATACGCAGTGATACCAGCTATGTGACCACGTAACTCGGAGTAGCACTGTAATGGAAGGAGAGACCCGAGTCGGTGTCTGTTCGGATGGCCGTTTATCAAAAGAGTGCCCCGTGTTGTGTACACCCTCTCGTGCCACCGAATCCCCTTCGCTTGTTCCTCTTTATTTCTCAACATCCTGCCGGGCCGGCGCTGGTGTCGTTGCTGCCTCGAAATGAGCAGCTGAATGAGATTGTTGATTTCGCACCAATCAAGAAGGACTACGTTGCACGCTCGAGGAACTTGAACTCGGCCGGGAAATAAAGCTGATATCCGGCCAAGTTTCCAAAGCAGGGTTGAGATGTCATCGTCGTTGACGATTATGATGTCGTCAACTTTGACTGTGGGCTGAGTTGTAGACATAGTGGACACCATTCGTGCGTAGCATTTGAACGTTCGGGGGTTATCAGAGTAGATGATTGGTAAGAGTCGTGTAGGACCCCAAACTGAGGTCTTACATTTTCGCTCGCACTAACATCAGCAGGGGTGTCGGTCGTTACCGAGTCCTCCCGAGCCTTTCCGAAGTACATTGAAGAGGTTAAACGAGTTCCTTCTGGTCCGCGAAAATCCCGAGGCTCGCGTCTCATACTCGCCTTTCGCAGCTGCGCTTCTAAAGAGGCAGCAAAAATGGCAGCCTCAGCACTCAGCTCAGCCCTTGTCAGGACATTGCACGGTAAACACGGACCTGCTGTCGAACGGAAGAGGTGCTCTTCGCCGGCAATTATAGGCTCCTACTGCAGCTCCAGCGTCGCCGTTGGTGCTTTATTTTCGCCGATGCCGTCCATGGACTCCGACGTCAATGTTCCTTGGTCCGAGTGCCCCCTCATGTTGACGTCGCCGCCGGGCTGTCCCTTTGTGTGCTCCCAGTGACTTCTCCTGGGGGCCTAAGAGTGTTAGGTGGCTCCTTCGGCTCGTATCGCATGCTGTCCCCGCCCTCCCAGTGACCAAAGCCTACAGATTTCCTCTTCCCTAAGTCCATAGACGTCGCCGTTGTGGGCGGTGGCACACGAACCTTGATGCTCGTCCTCTAGGGTGTGCTAAGTTGACGGCGCCCATTTTCCAACCAGGCTGGAATGGGAGTCATCCGAACATACGCCCACACCTTCCTTGGCTACGGTGCCGAACGAGTAGGTAACTCGACCCTTACCAAAGAATTTGATCTTTGTCTCCATAACAAGGCTTACTTTTGGTGTGCTGTGACAGCGCTCTCAACTGGTTGTAGCGTTCCAGAGAGAGGCATGCAAGAGAGTCAACGAAGCTGGAGTTCTTTAACAAGCTTTATGTACCATTCGAGTTCCTTATTGGTGACTTTTTTACTGCCTTCTGCTACTTGAGTTGAATATAAGGCACTGGAGCTTCGGTTTTGGCTTCCTGGCAGCCCCTGAGGAGGCTGTGGTTCGTCGTCGTTGAGTGATCTGGTGTAAATTGTCCACGGATGTCTCTCCTCGCTGATTCTGGTGTGTGGGATGAGTACCAACGTGACCTGGTTCTCCCTTCAGTCGCCAAAGTTGTGAGAACAGGTGGGTTTCTACGATGCTTCGAATGTTGCAGTCTGGTTCTGGAACTGAAGTGCCTCCGGCACTCGCTGAAGTGCGAGTACCGGAAGTATCATCAGTTATTCCAATGGCGTCCAGGCGCCACATTTCAGAAGGATCACACAGCCCGCTTCCATGGCAGGTGAATGCACATGACATAAATAAAGTGGTGACTGCGCTTCGGAGACTACCACTATGATTTGCATAGGCACCCTGCACCATCCAGCTAGACTTCTCAATGGTTGTCAGTGTCTCTCTGAGACATTTGATTACTGCTGTGGCAATCCCCCAATATGCGTGTAGGACCCGATGAGGGCCCTTATTTCATTTGGGCATTGCGCTCCTTTTGGTTCTACGTCGGCGGCCAGCATGTTTTCGGAGCGGAGTTGGGCTTGAACCTTCTCGCCGATTGGGCCATTGGTAACATTGCATATCTTTGGCACCTCCAGTGCTTTCAATGTGATTACGGTGTCATTGAACTGACTTCGTAATTCGAGGCTTACTCGTCGACAGTGATATCGTGATGGTCGTCGAGCGTTGCAAAATGTGAATACGATCAGCTCTTCGGGTGTCAAAGAAAGGAGCAGTTTACTTTCTTGGAGAAGTGACGACGTACGGAGGTTCCCTGGCTGTCCAGGTCCGAACGAGAAGGCTTCGAGGTACCGTACAATCCCCTACTTGAGCAGTTTGAAGAACAGACTTTCCTTTCTTCGCCACGTTTGTAGGAGATGTCGCAACCGCAGCGCAGTTGTTATGAGGGTTCACCCCAGATGCAGAATTGCCTTGTGTAGATGGAGGGGCACAAGACACACCACAGAATGTTGTTAGGTGGCGTCCTCCACAGCTGGTGCAGATAAGATTTCTTGCAAAACGGCAAGCACGTGCGATGTGGTTGCGTTTACACATTTAAAGGATCAACGTGCTCGTGTCAGTTGTGATCTTTTTTCTTCTGTTGATAGTGGGAGTTGCCAACCTGATCATTGTGCTCAGTGAAGCTGCAGTGCGAACAGGTGAAGGCTCGGTGCTGAACAGATTCATTAGTTAGCGCAAATGCAGAGGGATTGTTTGCGTATATTCCACTTGACGCCTTTGTTGAAGAGGGTATGGATTGGTCCACGCGTTTTTATCTCCAGATTTCGACTTGGATCTAGAAGAACCTCATCATGAGCTTGATTTGTTCGCCTGGTGTTAGTTCGGTATCAGTGGAGATGGCAGTTGTCGCGCTCTCTTTGAGTTTTTGATGATAGAGGATCACCAAATCTTCCGGATGGGACTGCATCAGGAAGCGGTATAGCACCACCGCATAGTTGCCAATTGGAACTTTCAAACCTTCTAGAGATGTTGTGCGGAAGAGGATGGCACTGAACAGTTGGAGAAGTTGCGTCACGTTTTTTCAGCTGCTCATTTTCGGGAGACGAAGAAGGTGGTCGATTCGTTTGTCAATTAAGATGTCTTTTTTTTCCGAAGCGGTGATGCAGTGTGAGCACCGCCAATGCGTAATTCTGTTCAGAGAAGCGAATGCCTCCGATCACTCAACTTGCGTTGCCAGTGAGGTATGTTATTACTTTCTTTAATTTTGCAATGTTTGGGAGATCGGGGTTACTGTAAATAGTGAAATCGAAATGGTCCCAAAACCCTTGCAAATTTTTTAGGTTCCCCGAAAAGGTTGGTACCTGGAGTTTAGGAAGTGCGACGGTCCACTGGCTATTTGGGGAAGGGATTAGAGGTTTGTCGCTGGAAGTCTCTACCGTTGGGGGGAGGCCGCCGGACTGTAGAGTATCGGGTCGTCACGCGCGAGTTGATTATCAGACGTTGGGCTCTAGAGTCGAGGACTTGTTGAACGCGTGCGATGCCTCAGTTATATTCCCAAGTGGTAGACTTTGGCCTTGTTGAGCTCGTCGTCCAGGTCTTCATCTGAGGCCGAGACCAGAATGTCTGGGTGAAGGTCGACCAGGCCAGTTTGGTTTTCGATCAGGTAGTTCAGCCGTATGCGCCAGTCAACCTCTGTCCAGTCCGGCTGCTCAAGAAGAGCATCAATCTGGGCGAGCGTCCGGATCACGGCGGTGCGGACAACGCCATGGGCCCTTCGCAGGTGGCCCATGTTCTCTCGAGGGTTTTCGGCACCAAAATGTAATGGAAAGAGAGACCCGAGTCGTGTCCGTTCGGATGGACGTTTATCGAAACACAGCCCCTGTGCTGTGTACGCTCTCTCGTGCCCCTGAATCCCCCCGGTTGACATTCTTTACTTATCAGCAGGCACCAACCACGAGACCGCGTCAATTATAGTGACGTTAGGTTAAATTCAGCCTGATGTTAGCCCGCTAAATTAAGATGAACCTATGGGGGCTTGCTAAAAAACACAGACCCTTAGAAAAACATCGATTAACATTGGCGGTTGCCTTTTCTTGGGCACAAAGCCTATGACTGGATCTGAGTTCACGCCGAACTCTGACGCGGGCCTCGTGTCCAATACATGCTCAGAGTTCTTGCTCAAACGAAGGCGCGGACTTGGATAATTGTCGCGGCAGCTACTGGATGGAGTGCAATTTAGAAAAGGATTTATTCTAGTTCAAAAGTAGGCACTACCAATTCGATAGACAAGAAGGGGAGTAGCGCATAAAGCTTTGGCCCTGAATTCCTTTACTTGCGACTCTTCTAGCTAAAATCGACTGATTTCGCTTCAAACAAGGCGGCTCTGTACTTCGTGCGTTTCGCCTTTATTGGTATTATGAACACCACTCTACCACAGTTTTATCTTTCGTCAAAGTTATCGTGTGTGTAATCAATAGATCAATATTAATTTCTCACAGTTTGGGATGCCATTGGACCTTGAGGCTATGCGTGGCTTTTGAACGGCACGTACGGCGTGAGGCATTGAGCCGCCCAGCGACCAAGCCATCGTACCCAGCGGCTGGATAGAGTGCGTTGCATTCACCAGTCCACTCTAACGGGTAAAGACAAAACAAAAAGCGACCAGATTAAATCATAATTTAATTATTTAAAATCTAGATGCATTGACTCCCTTAACAGCGTACCATTTTATAGAATCCGTCAGATTGCTCCAAGGATATCGCGGCCAAGTGCCTACGGTCATGGTATAACCGCTCCGAAAGTCGTCTCCCGGATAGCTGTTTGGTAAAGAAATCGAAAGGGCTTGGCTCTAGTCAGGAATGAAAGAGTTAAGCCGCGTTTACACTGCTAATACATAAAACAAAACAGTCTGCAGACACAATCTGAGGCGTGTCCACAAACATTGTCTTCAGATTATGCAAGACAGTGCCTTGTATGGCGGTCCTGTAACCTTGGTCATACAGAAACGGTCTGCAGGTATGTTCGAAGCATACGTATGTTTATTAAACAAGCACACTTCAAACATATTCCAGGCGTGACCGTTGCAGATAATTTTGTTATCACGTCTGCAGGAAGCACCGTCTCTTTTGTTTGATGCATGATCAGTGCGACCACGGCTTGACATTTTAAAAGATAATAACATTAAATATTTCTACGCTATCGTAGACCCTTTTCAAAAGATTATCAAGCAACATTGGGTGTCGCCATTGCCTGAACCCCAAGCGTGCGATTGGATCCGTGTCTTCGTCGAACGCTGGCTCAGCTCTCGTTTCGAACAGATGCTAAGAGTATACGTCCAAAAATAATGGCGGGCTCGGATAATTCGTGCCACAGCTAGTAGATGGCGTGCACTTTTTGAAATGGCCTAGTGTAACCCCCAGCCTCACTAGATCGCCTACCAATAGTGCGAGAATGAACTAAAGAAAAGTATTTTGGTACAACTCTGCGGCACTGAGCTCGAATAATTTAGTTTAGCCTAGAACAACTAAATGAGCTTCATCTTTAACAATACAACAATAAAGAGTAATTTAAATGATCAGTATAGTCACTGACATCTGTAGAAAAGCATGATGGGACGAGCTCCGATCATCTCATTATCTCTTCGCAGCCAATGAGAGTGCGGCATGAGCTGATAAAAGCACTGGAGGACCAATCAGAAGACAAGAAGCGTGGACGTAAAAGGTCATGCCCCGCGTTTCTTAAGCATTCAGTGATTATGCACACTGACAGCTTGAGAAAAACAAAGTAATGGTGTTACGTATGTCTAGAAAGCGGTAAGCTTCCCTAGTGTGCGTCTGGGGTCTCGGCTGTGGTCGAGAGTTTAGCCAGTGCAGTACCACGGGTAGCCAAGGGTCTTCAACGCGCATCAGGCAGTAGCGAGGCGCGTCCGCACGTTTGTACGATCGGTAAGACATTCATCCGGAATGAAACGTGCAGGGGTGGGAACCGAACCCAGCGCCAGCTTTTGCTCCACGCATACCGAGCTTCGATGCGCTAAGAGGACCATAAAATCATTTTTGGGCTTCTTCCTTCTTAGCTGTAATTCGCAACTCAAAAGCGAAATAAGATATCACATAACCGTGCTGTCTTGGGTACGGTACGCGATGACTCCAAGCTTCCGCTATAGTGAACTATAATTAGAAGTAGTGGAAGAAGCATCAGCGGTGCCCCATCGGCCGTGTTTGAGCCACTAAAATAGCTACGCTTATTCCCGTGTCCCACTAGAGCGACACACAGAAACAAATGACAGCGACAAGCCTCAAACCAGAGTCTTTTGCGATTTGAGAGGTGGTGGTGGTGGTGGTGGTGGTGTTTGCCTGACGTGAGGTTTTTCTCACTGGCTGTGGAAAAGTTTCACGGGCTTGGGTTATTGCAGTATTGATGAGAATGAATGCAGGGGAAAGGAGGGGGAACAGATGGTGATGAGAAATATAGGATGATGAAACACAAGTTAACAAATTAAAGTAAAATAAAAAGTCGGCAAAAAATCAGTCAAAAGTGAGAAAATGGGCACATCTAGAACGCGAGCATTACAGAATGTTCACAAAATTCCCGCAGAAAACTTCACGAGAAAAACTATCACTGGCACACAAGCACGAAAAGAGAAGTCGGCGGTCGTATTTTCTCACTCATCACAGCCTTGCCAGAAGCCCACAGACATCCAAGAAGCTGAACACAGTCTTTCGGAGACGTATGCACGTGGATGATGGACCCTTGGGGAATAGCATATCCACGAGGGTGGGTGAAACACCGAGGCTCTTCAGTGAAGCTAGAAGGACGGCTCTTTCTGTATTGTAGTGTCCACATTCAAAAAATATATGCGTCAGCGTTTCTGGTTGATCGCAGTGCTCGCAGAAGGGGCTGGTTGTTCTTTTGATACGGTGCAGTTTCACTTGCGTGTACGCGCAGTCTGCTCTTAAGCGGTGGAGAAGAGAAGCGAACTTCCGTGTTAGGCCACGCGTACAAGCTGGAGGAGGAGGTTCATCAGACGCCACACTGGAAACGGGATGCTTGTGTTGTATCCAAGTCTTAATAGCCAATCTTGGGTCAGAGTGGCTGGGGAGATTCAACGTCGCAGTGGGCAGTTTTAGAGCGGTTGAGGCCAGATGGTCAGCCATCTCATTTCCGGGTAAGCCAATGTGCGAAGGTATCCACTGTACTCGCAGGTTACAACCATGGGAGACAAGTAGATGACCCAGCCTAATTATTTCACAAACCAAATCAGGATTGGCGCCTTTGCTGCTGAGGATATTATGCACCGCACACCGAGAGTCTGTTGCCAGAAGCCAGTTATTAGGTGGTTTCGTCGTGATGTGAAGAAGAGCTGCGTGGATTCCACTCAGCTCAGCTGTAGTCGACGACACGGCATGGTCGAACCGTCCTGACCATGAGCAGGGTTCCGATGGGATGTGGTAAGCTGCAGACGCGACATCATGAATGAAGTCGACAGAGCCATCAGTATAAATGGCCGTAAACGAGGAATGCCGAGACGTCATCACCTCCTCTGTCAGGGCTCGACTAACCACACTGGGGTGTCGTGAATTTCCGTGGAAACCCGGGATGTCCTCGTAGATGGTGAACGGGTGCTTGCTCCACGGGGAGTCAACTGGAGGAGAATGGACGGAGGGTATGAAGCCGAGAGCCTCAACTAGAGAGGTGCAGTGACCGCCATATTGTGAAAGGTGACGCTGTTGCATGTCAGTAAACAGCGAGACACCACTGGTCGACTCAGCAAGCCGAACGAGATGTTTAAGAGCACGGTTCACAGCGTGTAAAGCTACCGGCATCTCTCGGCCCTCAATCCACGTTGCATCGATTCGGGAGTACGAGGGAAAACCAAGAGCCATTCTTATTCCGGCTCGGTGGCATCGTTCTAGCTGATCCCATAGAGATCGCGTAGGCGGCAAGTATGACGCTGCATAAAGAATGCGGGAAAGGTTAAGCGCCCGGTGCACGCATAGTAGGGCTTTAGGGGACGATCCCCACTCAAGTCCACGAAGTCGACGAATGAGAGATGTCGCCATCGCCGTCTGACGTACAAGATTCGTTACGTGCCGACGCCAACATAATCGGGAATCAAGATCGACCCCCAAGTATCGATAGCTACGCACGCGTGGTACTCGAGTCGCACATAAAGTAAGCCGCGGAAATCCATGGCGAAAGGGGCGGCGGGAACAAGCGAGCACAGCTGTTTTTTGCGCTGAGACGGAAAGTCCGAGGTATTCTAGCATGTTTGCAACACGCGCGAGGGATATTTGCATAAAGGGACGTAGAATGCGTCGATCAGAATGGGAAGCCCACAAACAGATATCATCTGCATAGATGATCATACCACTAGGGTGTGGTGATTTATGCATGCATAAAGGTATTGTCGTCATTACGATGTTGAATAGCACTGGACTAAGGCAACTACCCTGAGGTAACCCACGCAACAGTGGATGCACGGCTCCCGTAGTCTTGCCCAAGCAAACACTAATTGTCCTGTTGCTCAGAAACTCTTGGCAATATTTTAGCATTCCTCCTGTTATGCCAAGGTGATTCAAGCAAGCAAGAACTACATCATGTGGAACCGAGTCAAAAGCTCGTTCAACATCAAGAAACACTGCCAAAGCAGTGTCTCCTCGTAAACGAGCGTCTTCCAACGCTGATGTAAGGCTCGCAATACAGTCAGCAGTGCAGCGTCCACTTCTGAATCCCGCTATTTCAGATGGCAGTGCTTCAATGTCGTCAAGGTACCACTGGAGACGCGTAAGCACCAAGCGTTCTAGAAGTTTCCCAGCACACGAGGTCAAAGATATTGGGCGGTACGATGACAATTCCGACGAAGGCTTGCCTCGTTTTAAAATGGGGGTTACTACAGCATGCTTCCATTCTTGCGGAAGAATACCAGTAGTCCACGCCAAATTTAAGCGCTCGAGCAAGACGACGCGTGACTTGTCACTCAGGTTACGCAATGCTTGGTAGGTGATGCCATCAGACCCAGGAGCACTGTGGCGTTTGCATTTCCTAAGAGCCGCATCTAGTTCCGACATAGTGAAAGGATGATCCATACTCTCCGGACTCCGTGCAGGACCAGTCAGGGATCGAGGATATGAAGATCCAGAAGGGCGTTGGGGTACAATGAAGCGCACCGCAAAATCATCTGCAAGTCGTGATAATTCAAGGCCAGTTTTAAGACTGAGGGCGATGAACAAATCTCGAGGTGTTGGAGAGCAGCCCATACCTCTCAGTACTTTGTAAATCTTTGGCTTAGGTGTACATGGAGTTAATGACGAAGCAAATTGACGAAATTGTCGACGGCGAAGTGCGCGAGTGTGACGGAGTAAAGCTGACGTAACACGACGACAGTCTATCCAATGGGAGACCTTGCCAGATCGGCGCGCACGACGCTGAGCGCGGCGGCGAACAGCACGTAGGCGTACGAACTTCAAATCCGGGGACGGCTGAGATATCCTTAAAGATATTTTATATGTTGATTGAACGAGACATGCAGGAATAGCTTTTAATATATCCTCTGACGGCTCAAGAAAGCGAACATTTGTGCGAAATACGTCCCAGTTGGTTACACTGTATTGACGACGTGGGAGGCGGGTCACTTCGGGTATATTCATCAAAATTGGAAGATGATCGCTTGCACGTGTGTCCGCGTCCAACGACCAGTACACGTCTAGATTGGGGGAAGCGAGAGTAAGGTCCAGCACGCTAGGTTCTCCGCGATGACCAAAAAATGTAGGAGAGCCGTCATTCAGAATAATCAAATCTGATGATTCAACCTCAT